GACGGACCTCGTCCGTCACGCGGTAAAATTAACCCCGGATCGCCGCTATCGCGGCGATCGCGGGGTTAATGGTGCTCCCGGTATGCCTCTGCATTAGAGGCATACCGGGAGCACCCGGTCAGTCTGCCCAGCACATGTGCTCGCTCTGACCGCAAGTCTGAGCGAGCACATGTGCTCTCTATACTCACCTACCGGCTCCCTGCACTTCCGGGTTCTGTGTGAAGTGCAGGGAGCCGGATCAGTGCTGATCCTGCCCCCTGCTGTTTAAAAAAATAAAGTTTATTTAAAGTCCCCCCCCCCTTACCCATTTTAATAAAAAATTAACCCCTTCCCTGCCAATTGATCACTGACTACAGTGATCAATTGGCAGGGATTACATTTTACTATGATCTGATTTTTTTTTTTAACCCCTGAGGGTTAATTCTTTTTTTTTTTTAACCCTCAGGGGGTAAATTAATTAAATTAATTAAATTATTTTTTAATTATGTATTTAGATAGCTGGGGTGGGTGGAAGTTAGTGGGGAATTGGGGGATTTGGAGTTAGGCTAACTAGGGGTTAACGTTAAAAAAAGTTTTAAAAGAAACTTTAAAAAGTTAAAAATTAAGCTTAAAAAAATGTTTTAATAACATTTAAGTAAAAAAAACAAAAAAAACACACTTTACCTAGTCCAAATAAAAATTAACCCCTTCCCTGCCAGTCGATCACTGCCTACAGCGATCAAATAGAGATCACAGTATTATACTGTGATCTAATTTTTTTTAACCCCTGAGGATTAACTTTTATTTATTTTTTTAACCCTCAGGGGTTCAATTTATTTAATTAATTAATTTAAATATTTTATAACTATATATTTTGCTAGCTGGGGTGGGTGGGAGTTATGGGAAAATGGGGAATTTACTGTTAATGCTGCGTACTGCTAGTTAGGGGTTAACGGTAAAAAAAAAAGCTTAGAAAAATGTTAAATCTGTAAAAAAGTTTTAAGAAAGTTTAGGAAAGTTTAAAAAAAATTTATAAGCAAAACAAAAGTTTAAAAACTAGTTTTTAAAAGTAAAAAAGTTATAAAAAGTAAAAAAATACATTTTAAAAACGCTCATTACCACTACACCTGGAGCAAACTAGAGAAAAAATTATCCCACGCCAAGGTTCAAAATATGCCTTTTGAATTACCCCAGGGTGTATTCTTTAATAAATAGTATGTGTTTGTGGGGAAGTTTCAATAACCAACCGTCTAAACTACTCCAAATTGGAACATGGACACAGCGTAAAACTTCAAAGTTAGAAAAAAACTGAATGGCTGCGTCTCAAATGCGCCCCTTCAACATCCACATATACCTGGCAAAGGTACATACGGGGGTATTGCTGTACTCAGCCGACATAGCTGAGCAACATATGAAGTATTATACAGTCATAGCACACATAAGGTTTGCAAAATATGCTGCGCAAACTCACTTTGTATGTCAAAAAGGCAGAAAAAATGCTTATTACCACTACACTTGGTACAAGCTAGCGGAAAAATGATCCCACGCTAAGGTTCAAAATATGCCTTTTGAAATACCCTGGGATGTCTTCTTTAAGAAATGGTATGGCTTTATGGGGAATTTGGATTATATAGCCTGGTAAAATACTCTAAAATGGGACATAGGCACAGCATAAAAATTCAAAGTTTGAAAAAAACTGGAATGGCTGTGTCCCAAATGTGCCCCTCCGATGTCCACACATACCTGGCAAAGGTACATACGGGGGTATTGCTGTACTCAGCCGACATAGCTGAGCAACATATGAAGTATTATACAGTCGTAGCACACATAAGGTTTGCAAAATATACTGTGCAAACTCACTTTGTATGTCAAAAAGGCAGAAAAAACGCTTATTACCACTACATCTGGTACAAGCTAGCGGAAAAATGATCCCACGCTAAGGTTCAAACTATACCTTTTGAAACACCCTGGGGTGTCTACTTTAAGAAATGGTAGGCCTTTGTGGGGTAGTTTGAATTTAAAACCTGCGAAGATGCTTGGAAATTGCACATAGGCCCAGCGTCAAAATTCAAAGTTTGGTAAAAACGGATATGGCTTGGTCTCCTATATGGCACTGTAGCTTCACGAAATAGTGCCAAAGACATTCATATGGGGTGTCATTTTACTCAGAAGACTTAGCTGAGCATAATTTGGGGGGTTTGAACTTAGTGGCACATATGAAATATACAAAACGCCCAGCAAAAATGCAATCCGTATGTAAAAAATGCACAAAATTATTTTTTACCACATACTTTGGCATATATTGGTGAAAAAATGGGGGCATGTTAAGGCACAATATGCACCTTATAAGATACCCTGGAGTGTCTACTTTTACAAATGGTAGGCCTTTGTGGGGGTTTTTTGAACAGTCAAACTGTTATAATACCCCAAATGGAAGCTAAGGCTCATTAAATCCATCTCTCAAAATTCTACTGTGAATACTGAAAAGGACAGGTATCCTGTATGGCACTGTAACTTCACGAAATAGTGCAAAAGACATACAATGGGGGTGTCATTTTACTCAGCAGATGTAACTGAACACAAAATAAAACTTTGTACAGGAATAGCACACACCAACTTTACAAAATATACACGAGAATTTCTCTGTTATAAGTTTGTGTGCCAAAAACCAAAAAGAACACAATTTTACTCCAATATTTAGCAGAGGTTGGCGGTGAAATGGCTACGTAGAAAGTGTCAAAACAACCTTAGGTAAATAGCCCGTGATGTCTACTTTATATAAATATATACTTTTGTGTGGCAATTTTGTTTTCTTTTATGGCTATTAAGCTTACAAGACAAACATACCAAATTCTAAAATCGCTCCACATTAAAAGTTTATTTTACTCCTTGTGCTTTGTGACCTGTAACTACCAAAAAAAACTTAAAATCCCAGACACATTATATATTCTGTAAATCAGAACAAATAAATAAATTTATTTTTAATTACTTTCCTTAACCTGCACTAATTATGCACACATTATTATTGCAAAAACTGTAAAAAAAAACAATATTTTTCATTTTTTTTGCATTTTTCTGTATTTTTTTTATAATAAGTAAGCATTTATATATATATATATGTTATATCAAATTAAAGCCCTTTCTGTCCTTTAAAAAACAGTATATAATATGTGTCGGTGCAATAAATGAGAGAGATGCAAATTGCAGTTGAACGCAAACAGCAAGAAAATGCAAAAATTGCTTGTGTCATTAAGCGTAAGTCAAGCTTCTGAAGCTGTGTCCTTAAGGGGTTAATAGTTTGCAAACCTTCAAAAGCTGGGTTGTTATCAACCATGAAGTTTTATAATTCTTCAAATAATGTTCATGTTGTTGACAATACTTATTGTTCTAGAAATTCTCCACCCAGAAATCTTTCTATCATAGATTTGTTTTTGTTTACATAATTATAATTAATGTAAAATTCCACCTTGTAGTAAAACACTTTTAATTCAACAGAAACATAGTTTACTTTAAAAAGAACTTGGAAAGAATAATTTAAATTCATTATTGTTGGATATAAAAATCAGCCCGGGTCCTTTGTGGATGATGGATATTTGCCAACTCATTCAGAGCTCTGGAAATTGGAAATGAATAGCAGAGATGTGTTCAATAACCAATTCAATTCTTATTATATGTCAGTTATATTTATACCCCGTTTTCATTGCAGGATGGGAGGGGGAAAAATGAGCATTTGGGTGTGACAATGACGACAATGACATAGATTGGGCTTCACAAGTTACGAGCAGCTGTTTCTCGTTATCCTACGTTATATAACGCACGTATATTTGATAAAAAACAGATATTTTCAAATACCAAAATCTTGGACAATTAACAAGAACATTTCAAAATCAGTATGGTCATTCTCGTAAATGATATTAGATAAATTCTTCCCAGAATCGAAGATACAAGTTTAAGTTTAAATTAACCCTTATATGAACAGCTAGGATAGATAGTGAGATGGATATTTGTATCTACAATGTCCCTCTTAGATCATATCATGATCTACCTTACGGAAAATATCCATGGGAGGCCTGCAGCAGAGAGACAAAAGGAGGTATATTCAGACGTGCTAATCACGTCTGCGGGACTTTCATTATTTCTTCACCTCGATTTCCCCCCATTTACTCTGTGCCATAGGTTTTTCCTTTAAGAGGAGATCGAGCTGTCAATTTTCAGCTTTTTCAGTTATCTGTTGAATACATCTTTTAAGTGTACAAGTTAAATATTTCAAACAGCTAACATGTTAACCAATTTTAAACAGACTGCACATCCTGTTATCTGTAACTTGAGCCTTGGATCAAAACAGGCAAAGTGTATTATTCCCAACAACGGGAATATTATTATAATTCACAACGTAAACACATATAGTCAAAATGGGAATAATATCTATTCCCCCTCTTTGAACCAGGGTCTTGGATTACCAGTCCACCCAGTGAACTCGGGCCAGGTCAAAAAACCCAGTGGCAAAAACTCATATTTGAGGAAAAAAGCACATCTGGGGAAACTGTAAGTGAGGGCCATGACTGTGTAGACATGTCATCACCTCACGTTGACAGCATTAGTGACTTATAAAAGCCCGCATTTGTAAGTAAATAGCTTGGGTATCGGGATTGGGAAACACTTCTTGATTAGTTTGAAAAGGCCAATTTACATATTAAATCATGAGATAATTTCTAATCAGTTTACAATTCTAACAATAATCCCGATCATGACCTTGCGTCCTATGCCTCCTAATCACATCCCTATTTCGATGGTGCAGTTATATCCACACTAAATACATGGGAATCCATCCTTGGTACACTTTACATACATCAATGACACATATAATACATCCATGCCTGAGTAAGCTAACACTTCCTCTCTCTCCGGCTAACTCTACAAAAATAAAAACAACAAAATCGTTCAATAGTCCAGCATAGTCCAGAAAAATAGAATACGTCTTTCAAGGAGTATAAAGAATCTTAGACACCATAAACTTTGTTCCATAAACTTAGACACCATAAAATAGCTAAGGGTAGCAATATGGCTGACAACAAGACAATGTCAGCTTCCACATAGTTCTTAAATCTTCTGTTTTGCTGGATGTTCACCACAATACTCTGTGCAACACCCCAATTGTTGAAAGGGTAATACAGAAATAGCGGCATTAGACAGCACTGCATCTTCAGCACTTTCCAAGTTAGCTTATGTCCTCATAAGTAAGCATCTCAGTTTCTTCGGCCAGCATGGATTTTGACCAAACAGATTTAATTGCAAAAAAAGGTAGGTAGGCAGGTAGGTCAGCCAGAGAGATTGGTGTGTAGTCCCAAATATCAGGCGGCACAAATACTCTATAATCATACAAACACAAGGATCAGTACGACATCAATAAATTAATTATCGAGGCTAAACTCAAATTAGAGACTAAAGTTAAACTCTTAACTAGTGTAACATGTACTTCTCTCAGTTTTGTTTATAATACATTGAATTTGTCCTTTATAAAATTTTAATACATAATTTCCCTTTAGAATGCCTTGTATGGATGAGAGAAGCACTCATTCTATATAAATGCTTGTTGAGTACTAAAACACTAACATATACATATTGGAATAATTCCCAATAAAATGCTGTTCTTAAACCTTGATTTGATAATATCAATTAATGACTTTAATAAAATTGGAATGCTGAAGTCTGTCAGAAATTTTGTGAACCCCGATAACATCTTTGGAAACTGAAACCTTTTATAGATCCCGATGTCCAAAAAGCCACCAGTTCTGTATGTGTGTGATCATGTTTTAATACTGTACAGTTATCCCACATAACATTTTTATTTTTTTTAATTTTTTTTTAGAACAACTAGGAATGAAATAGGAGAAACAAAATGAATTACTACCTGTGTTAAGGTTGCAAGTGGCCTCTGACAAGGAAGGGGCAGCAAACTGTAGACATATGTTATATTAAGTTGCCCTCACTTGTCAGGTCTTGGAAACCCACTTGTTTTATTGCAGATGCCTCTATGATACCACGTTACAAATTGACTAAGCATACTTATTATTATCCTATTTTATTTTAGTTATTTCACATTGCGCAGCCTATGCAAACAATGTCTAGGTCCCAACTTCAGCTTGTACATCCTCTAAGAGCCAGCATTAATACAGTTTTATCACTCAAAACTATATATAAAGTATTAAAAACATGAACCAACTGTGTATTAGGCTGGGGTTGTTGGGTGTGGGTATAGGTTGGAAGCTATGGTTGGTATTGAGGAACCTGCCAGGGTGGGTCCTTGAACGCCAGCTGGGCCAGGTTCTCCCTTAGCACCGAGTTCTCCTTTGTGTCCTTGAGCACGAGGTTCACCATTGTTACCCTTAGGTCCAGGGGTACCTCCGGGGCCTTGAGGTCCAGGAGCACCACAGGCACCAGGGAAGCCAGGGACACCAGCAATACCAGGAGTACCAGTGGGGCCAGCTTGACCGGGAGAACCGTGTTCACCACGAGCACCTTGGGGTGAACCCCTGCTATCCACAATTAAAACAGTGCTGAAGTTGCCACCTCTACAAAAGTTAGACCCTTTGATCAAATCCTCTGCCTCTGCCTCCAAAACTTTTCTGATTCAAACTCCTATCACCTTCCAAATGTCATTGTCTCGCCTGCTTAAGATCACAATCCTTTGTGACCGATACAACATACTTTTCCCACTTTCTTTATATCAAAACAACCTGCTGTATCTTTCTCATGAATCTTCCCAAGAAATTCAGTTGGGGTCAAAAGTGACCAAAAGTGAACAAGGAGGAAGCATATTCCATATGCAGGTCGAGATTACCTAACTCACACCCCCTCTTTGTGTACCCCTCTTTGTGTACCACACAGATATAATATTAATAAGCTTTTGAAGATTTATTGTGCATGTATAGCACGGTTGTCTAGGGGTGTATACATAAACAGTGAAAGCAGAGTCTTCATATAGGGTTTGCAATACTGACAATCTGGGTCATAGGTGTAATGCAGACATGCGGTTAGGTACTTTTCCATTGTCAGAATACATTGAAAACACTAATATATTGCAAATATTAACCCCTTAAGGACGAGTGACGGACGAGGTCCGTCACTCAGGGGAAAGCGTTAATGACGAGTGATGGACCTTGTCCGTCACGCGTTTGCTGGGTGCCTCCGAGTCAGGGGCAGACCAGCAACAGCAAATCCCGATATCCCAGCCCATGTGATCGCTGTGACAATCAGTCACAGCGGTCACAATGCTGCTGGGACATCTGATACGCCTCTCTCCACCTCTTGTGGGTTTGTGAAGTGGAGAGAGACGGATAGTTGTAACATTGTGTCCCAGAAGAATAGTTAAGTTATATTAAAACTTGCTTCCCCTATAAAAAAAAAAAAAATTAACCCTTTCTCTGCTGCTTGATCACTGCTAGCAGTGATCAATATACAGGCCACAGTACTTTACTGTGATCTATTTATTTTTTTTTACTTTCAAGGGTTACATTTTATGTTTTTTTGTAACCCTGAGGGGTTAAATTTTATTATTTGATTGTATTAGTTTATGATTTAGTTACTTGGGTGGGTGGAATTTAGTGGGAATTAGGGAATAAAAAAAAAAAAAAAAAAGTTTAGTTATTTAGTTAAAGTTTTGTTAGCTGTGTTAACTGTATTTAACAATGTTCAGGAAGTATAGTGCAGAGGAGGCTTATGCCCTGTTAGCGGCCGACTCAGAGGCGACAGACGCAGGGGACAGGGACTATGTGCCAGATACTGCAGGACCATCAGGGGAAATCGATGATTCCCCTAATGCTGAACATGGCGCAGATGACTGGGTACCCCCTAATAATTTTTCCCCAGACATCCCAGTGTTTACAGCCAATCCTGGCATACAGGCTGACCTGTCTGGCTATCGTGCGCTGGATGTTATGCAGCTGTTCTTGGGGGATGAGATTTTTGGGGAGATAGTCACCCAGACTAATCTCTATGCAGAGCAGTATCTGGCACGCAATCCAGACTGTCTTATCTTCAGGAAAGAGAGATGGAACCCAACCAGTGTGCCTGAATTGAAACAATTCTGGGCACTGACCATGTTAATGGGACTAATTAAAAAGCCCACAATTAGGATGTATTGGTCTAAACATCCTATTTGCAATACTCCCTTTTTTGCCGAGGGAAAGATATGAAGACATACTGCGATTTATGCACTTTAGTGACAATAACAAGTGCCCCCCAAAAGGTGATCCGCAGTATGATCTTCTTTATAAAATCCGCCCTTTAATTGCCTACTTTAACAGTAAATTTGCCACTATATATACCCCCAATAAAAACATTTCCATTGACGAGTCCCTCATGAAGTTTAAGGGAAGACTGGGGTTTAGACAATATATCCCATCCAAAAGATCCCGATATGGGATCAAATTTTATAAACTGTGTGAAAGTGGCAGTGGCTATGTATACACCTTCCGTGTATACGAAGGAAGGGATAGCCACCTTGATCCCCCAGGTTGCCCAGATATAGTAGGGACAAGTGGGAAAATTGTCTGGGACTTAATAATGCCACTACTTAATAAAGGTTATAATTTATACATTGATAACTTTTATAACAGCATCCCACTGTTAAAAATGTTGTACTGCTTCAAGGCCGTGGCCTGTGGCACTATTTGGAAGAGTCGCACAGGTTTCCCAAAGGCTCTAGCGAACAAAAAAATGAAAAGGGGGGAAACAGCAGCTCTCTGCCAGAATGAACTGCTGGCACTGAAACACAGGGATAAAAAGGATGTTTTCATCTTAACCACCATTCATGGTGAAAACACTTGGAGGGTCGCAGTTCGTGGCAGAGAGGAATGTAAATGAGTGCCAGTCTGCATACGGCAATATAATCGGCATATGGGGAGCGTTGACCTGTCCGATCAACTGATGCAGCCGTATTTGATCATGCGAAAGACCAGGGCATGGTATAAAAAAGTGGGCATATATCTGATGCAGATGGCAATCCACAATGCCTTTGTCATTTTTTAAAAGGCAAATGCTGGGCTGAAAAGCACTTTTCTTTCATTCCAGTTTGAGCTCATTTCTGGGCTACTTGAGGAACCAACAAGGAGATCCATCAGTGGAGCCTAGCAGAAGAATGGAGGCAGGTCACTTCTGCTTTAAGATTCCACCAACCCCTAAAAAAACAAACCCCCAGAAAAGGTGTAGGGTGTGTTACAAGAGGGGCGTAAGAGCTGAGACCAGCTATTACTGCCCTGACTGCCCCTCTCAGCCCGGCCTATGTATTGGCCACTGTTTTAAAAATTTTCACACCCAGGCCGAATAAGTAGACCAGTTTTGGGGTGTGATTTTTAGTCATCTATCTGATTGGTTACCGAATCTTGGCTTTGTCTCCCGCTTATCCTGTCTTCTCTGATCCTTGACCTCGGCTTGTCCTATCGTTGTTCCGTTTCTCTTTACTCCTTTGACCTCGGCATGTACCTTGACAATTCTCTGCCTGTATAGCCAGGCCATTCTAAGGACTGGTATTACAAGTTTCTCTCTCTGTGTTCTCTCTCTTTGTGGTCTGTATGTGTTTTGGTTTCGGAATCCATGACAGCTTTGTCCGGGATGCAGATGACTGGGTACTACCCCCGGATAAGTTTACCCCAACTATTCCCCCTTTTCACAGCAAATAGTATGCACTTGTTAAGTGTTCTTGCATAGCAAGACCACTTAATGTTATCTCACATATATATTATTATTATTCTTATTATAGCAAAATTTGCCACCCTAACTCCTCCTACAGTTTTTACACTACATAGACAAAAATTTACCAAAACGTGCAGATTGTTCCCGATCGGATTGCTATTACTTTGTGGAACGTTTCGCCGAATGGTTCACGGAATATCGTCGTTCTTGTGGCGAAATTTGTCCCATAGGAATGAATGACAAAGCTAGAGTGGGAGCTGGCAAAAGCTGAAAAATCAGGACATGATTTCTAAACTGCCGCCACTCTCTCATTTTCAGGCCCACCTACACAAATCTTATATCAAAACGTCCTGCTGCCACTAAACATGTCAACGGCTAAGCCATAGTCCTGATAGTTTTCACAATATAATCATTTGTTTGCATCTAATGCCGTCCATTGACATTTATTGAAACTTCACTCTACAAAGCTCAAATTTTAAGTGCAATTTCTAAACTGCGACTGTGCCTTCATTTTTAATACTTCAGAGACATACTATGCATCAAAATGTAGGTCTGGGTCTTGTGATTCTCACAATATAAAGCTCTTCACTGTAGGAGTTATAGTTTTTAAGATACGACCGTTTGAAGATGGCAACCGCCAAAATACTCTGACCTGTGTCAGGCTGCAGCAGCAAGTGATGTCATAGACAGGGCCTTTTGAACACCTGCTAATGTTTTTATAAATGTATGGTTTAATGTAACTGTGCAACAACGTTGCAATTAAATGTGCTATATAAATGATAACAGTTACTCCGCCCACTCCAGTTGTAGACTACTGGTGGAGGCAAGAACACTTCACACAATTTCCCCAGAAATTGTAGCTTTTCTAGTTCATAATTTGAATTGATGAGCTGCTTATACTTAAAAAATATACGTGGCCTTTGAGAGGTAATTTGCAGTCCTGAGCTGCTAAAATGAGACTTGGGCCCAGCATCCACTTTTGAAAAATATGGAAGTGGTGTGTCTCCAATGTGCCCCTTCAACATCCACATAACCAACATTAACTAGGCAAACCCTAAAGACTGGTAATAAGTCCTTATTATATTTCCTGCCCTTTCCCTTCTCGGTAGAGAACTATCTGCTATTATTGAGGAGGATCACACTTGTCCTAACTCTGATCTATATTAACCTGATATATTCTTAGTGAGTAGGAGAGATGTACTTTAGAAATGCTCTTACCATCTACAACCTTAATGTATCTGGCCTTTGGTTACTTTATTTGTTTTTAAAAGATATCCCTACTTCCAGTACAGTAAACCTACCTCCATTAATTTACTTGGCCATAACGTGCGAGAACATCTAGAAGATCTTTCCATTTCCATAAGATTAGTTGGACTAATAACGGTTTCACTGTAGATTAGTAACATTTTCTCTTAACTGAAACATTCAGTGATACTACCCCCCCTGTCCCAGACATCTTTTCTTAAATCGTGTTAACATCTTTTCTTGATTATATTCCAAGGTAAATAGTTTTTATTTCTTTAGCTACAACTTGAACAATACCACATAATGGGAAAAAAATAAAAAAGTATTATTTATTCTTCCCACGAACAAAGACATTACTGAAGGTATCCGGGTCATTGTAGCTATGGGTGCTGCTCGGTAGGAGTGTCTGCCCAGTCCCAGACATGTAATGAGCCGTCCGTGGCAGCAGAGAGTACAGTCTGTTCCTTCCACGGGTGCCAGGAATGTGCCGTCACCTTTGGAGTGCCTCCATCTTCACATACAGCCATGACAGAGTGACCTTTGTGAGTAAACAGTGGGTCTCTCTCTTTCATTGACGTGTCCCAGTATTTTGTATTGTAGATTTCAACATTGCCATCAAATCCTGCATAAGGAAGGACAGAGGGGTCACTGATTATGATTAATCAGCCTGAAGGCTAAAACAGAAAGAAATAAACTTGGGGCAATACATATTCAGCTATAACATTATTACACCTCGCCCATCTAGATAACTATGTCTACAAATCCCCACTTTACAAGTTAAACTTCTTCATAGCTTACTTTGAAGGAGCCTGAACCATGGTCACGCCTGACAGCTCCACTCAAAAACTGAATTTATAAACTGATAGCAGTTACTGCTCATGCATTAATTCCATCCCCTCCTACTTGAAGATAAACGTGGCAGGGATTTATGGGAAATATTCAGAACGAAGAAGTGACTCCTGATTGGCTGATTGGCCACTTCTTGTTTGTATAGACCTCGCTGCAAAGACAGCGAAAAAAACAAATGCAGGAACTTTAAAATTACATATATTTTTTTTTTTTAAAGAAAATATTCTATGATTCATTGTAGATAGGTCAATACGCACAGTGCAAATCGTCTCAGGGAGCCCACATTAGACTTGCACAGTGTATGGCCAGTACTTACCTGAGATGGCAATTGTATCCTCCAGTGCAGGAGCCCAGCTGATGCACAAAAAATTCTCAGATGATGCTGAGTTAGAAACTCTGTGTTTGGTGCACTTTAAGGGTTTGCTAAGTTCCCTTGTGTCTGTAATTACAATATGTCCCTCAGAAGAGAGACTAGCTATGGTTGTAGTAGCTTCCTGCTTTCTAGATGTAACGGCTGCACGCCAGAGGGGTTTGCAAGTTGATGAAGGGTCTACCCTGCCCTCTATAGATGGTTTTGGTTGACGAACATCGACAATGTATTGTCTCCCGCTCTCGCAGCACAAGAAGAACGTGTTGGTGTCCAGAAAACAAAGGTTGCTGACGGAATCAGTTTGAGCCACACCTAACACAAGAGTGTAAGAGTCAATGACAGCATTAATAGGAAAAGGAAGTGGAAAGAAGACAATCACATGCATTACCAAATATACTTTCTCAAATATACTTACTCATCTAAACAGCCATACCTCCTTTCTACCACCTCCCACCCCCCCCAAAAGAAAATGCCCAAGGGCCGTTAATCTGAAAATTGTCCTATATTTTTAACAGGAGGATGTAAACATTTTACTAAAACATTAGACCAGGGAAGAATGGATCCTCAATACCATATTATCCTGAAACCAGACACCCTTTTACACGGCACAAAGTTTGAAGTCATATGCTACTAGACAGTTGTAAAAGTTACTGCAAGCCTGGAGGGTCCATGGCACACTCACCATGGGTGACGTTTTACTCTCCAGGGCTGAATTCTCACTTCTCACTGTTCTATGTAAGAATAGCACAATTTTAAACCTGCAGCTGGAAAACAGGATTTATATGCAGCAAACTAAAAGCTAGCTATGGGTCGTACAACTTATTTTAAAAAGCACAATAGTTTATTTTATTTTAAATTCACATGGTCCACCTTGGGCACAGCAATGGCATGACAAAAGAACAATTCATGGCCGACAAAAAAATGTTTAGTAGATATACCTTCAATTAAAACACGCATGCATTTAACTATGCATTTTTCAATTGGAGTATATCTAAAAATAGCTAGCAAAAGCTGCAGATCTCTTGTCTGCAGCATTTACAAGCTCCCCCTCCCCACAACTTCTGGAAATCTTTGCTGGGGAAATGACGAATCAGAGGCTTCTCATTGAGAACATTGATTTGAAGCCACAAGTGTGCACAGTTTCTATACTTATGTATAAAAGTCATTCAACTACATTCATTAGGTAAAGCTGCAAAATAAGGCTCAGGCACCTTAAAGGGACACAGCTCATTGAAGTGGTCTGGGTGCAATGTCCCATGTCTCTTAACCTTACAGTGGTAATTATTGCAGTTTCTGAGAAACTGCAATAATTACTATTCAGGGTTAACTCGTCCTCTAGTGGCTGCCTACCAGACAGCCACTAGAGGGACTTCCGGAATTGAAATGGATGTTTGGTCTGTTATCTGACGCTGGATGTCCTCACGCTATGCATCTAATAATGTTTTCCTATGGCGAAATCCTGATCTGAGCATGGCCATTGCCACGCATGTGCATTAGGTGTGTCCCGCCGGCTGAGGAGGAGGGTGGGTGGAGCCTGACCCAGCGCCATAGGCGCTGGATTCAGGTAAGTGACTGAAGGGATTCTACAGTGCCAAGAAAACAAAGAATCCCATTAAGTTACAATGATTTCATGATGTTACAATGTTTTGAAATAAATGAACATGTTGTTAAAGGACTACTAAAGGCACCCAGACCACTTCAGCTCAATGAAGTGGTCTGGGTGCCAGGTCCATCTAGTGTTAACCCTGCAGCTGTAAACATAGCAGTTTCAGAGAAACTGCTATGTTTACACGAGGGTAAATCCAGCCTCTAGTGGCTGTCTCACTGAGAGAAGTGAGTGAGAAGACGCTGGATGTCAGTAGGAAAGCATTGAGAAATGCTTTCCTATGGACTATTTGAATTCGCCCGCGGCTCTTGCCACGCATGCGCATTCGGCGCTGACGTCGGCAGAGGAAGGGGAGTTCCCCAGCACCAAGGGAGCCTGGCGCTGGAGAACGGTAAGTGTTTAACCCCTTCAGCCCAGCGGTAGTAGGACCCTGAGGGTGGGGGCCACCTAAAGACCCTATAGTGCCAGGAAAACAAGTTTGTTTTCCTGGCACTAAAGTGGTCCTTTAAGGCAATATGAGCCTGCATGGAAATGGTGGGTAACTTAGAAATTTGTTGATAACAGAAATGTGGGGCAATTTTCAAAAGAGGATTGCATTACTAGAACTCAGAACTCACACTAGCCAGTAACCCCTGGCGAGTAGACATTTACCAGTGGTGTATGTGCTATGGCTTGCAGTGGAGAGTAAGTTTTCGGCCTGGCTAGTAGCATTGAAGTTAAAGCTAAAAAGAGACTTGCGGCCATCAAGTTCTGCCTTTCTCATATCTGTTGATCTGAAAGAAGGCAAAAAACCCAGTCTGAAGCACTTCTAATTTTGCAGTAAACTATGAAAAAATTCCTTCTTGACCCTAAAATGGCAGTCAGATATCTCCTTGGACCAAGAAGCTATTAGCCCACTAATTAGAAATTATATCCCCGTATATTATGTTTTCGCAAGTATTTATCCAATTGCTGTTGGCATATATCATCATCGCTTGCCTCAGAGTAAATCTACAGTTTATATAATCCCCTAGTTGGTTAAAGTTTGCTTTGATAGGCTCTCCTTGCATATTAATATCCAAACTACCTAAAGAGTAGATTAGTTTGGTAGATTCAATCTCTGTAAGGTGGACATTGTTGGCCTGAGAACCATAAAGAACTGAAGAGGTGGTGGTGGCTATTTTCGTCCAGGTTTTCTTCCCAGCTTCTGACCGAATTGTACTTTGAGGTTTAATAACATCTGTAGGAAAACAAAAACTATACTTAAAATACTGTAGAGTGAATCAACAAGGAAACGGTTGATATATGAACATCACGGAGCAGTTGGAGCGCTGCAGGTTATATGTGACTGGCCTAAACAAACTGTATGGACAGAGGGAAGATAGGTAAAGACTAAAAAGGAAAAGGACAAGTGAAACCCTACGTACGCAGCAGACCAATCTCAAAATAAATGCATTCCCAAGATAGTAGACATTAACGGACTGAGAGATGTTGCCATTACTGGATTAATACAGCTGCCTCTTTAAATCAAACAGGTTTTGTGAAGTTTAAAAATGAGTCCACTTTTTTTTAGGTAGTGTGCAGGGAGGCACATGCAGGGAGGTGTGACTAGGGCAGTATAAACAAAAGTAATTAAACTCCTAAACAGCAGAGAAATGAGCAGTGACCTATACACCAAAATGGGTTGAAATGAGCTAAAGTTGTTTTGGTGCTTAAAGAGTCCTTTAATGCATTAACAATAGGTGGGGAGTTTGATTGGTGACTGAAAAAGTAATTAATTATTGCTTTAATCTCATCGCTTTAATCTTATCCCTAAAATGTGTAGCAGAATCTTCTTAAAAGAATGAGTATGGCTGAAGGCCATAGGGTCACAGGAGAGGGTTTGATACTAGTAGAGAGGCATTGAGGTTGGATAAAAGCACAAAATGTAGCGAAGCATGAAGTTAAAGCCCTTAACACCTTGATTGATACACAGTGCTGCAATGCAAGTTCGAATTACTCACCTTTTTCTTCTGCTCCAATCTGCCAAACCTGCACTGGACTAGTGGATGGACCACTTGTAACCAACAGGCTGTTGGTAAAGAAAAATTTTGATTAAGAAGAGGCTAGTAGCTTTGGAATAAATCCAGGTGTGGATTGTTGAACATATCAAATCTTCAATACTAGCAATCTATTCTTATATACGGGTCATTTCTCAGACTAGATCAAATCATCTGATTAATAGATGTTCCTATAATTTACGTCAATGGTGTGATCATCTTTAGAGAGATGAAAGGGTATGTTGACTCTCCCGGGATAGGGCATAAGGACCTGAGATTTGAATAGGCGGCACGCTTGGTGCTTTATCCAACTTACCTATCTCATCATATATTATCCAGTGTGCTTGGGAATTTCTAACCTATTAAATTAACGGGACACTATACGCACCCAGGCCACTTAATCTTAATAAAGTGATCTGGGTGTTGTGCCCCGTTTTAACCCTGCAGCAGACAACATTGCTGTTCTGCAGGCAGCCACTAGAGGCGGATCAAAGGAAATAAAGTAAAACTCTGCTATTTCTATCTCATGGTCTCGGAAAGACCACCAGATATGTGCAGTGTGCCATTTTTTCGCGCATGCACACTTGCTTCCCAATGCCTATGTGTAAGCATTGTTTTGACTCATCGATCGTGATGCAGGGTCAGCCGTGGAGATGGCACCACAAGGAAGGAAAGGTTATTAAAACTTATTTTTTTTCCTCCCTGCAGGTAGGTGCCACTGACCTAACCACTTTTTAACACTACAGAGTTGTTAGGAAAACAAATGCGCATTACTAACGCTATAGCGATCCTTTAACCCCTTAAGGACACATGACATGTCTGACATGTCATGATTCCCTTTTATTCCAGAAGTTTGGTCCTTAAGGGGTTAAAGGATCACTATAGGGTCAGGAAAACAAACATGTATTCCTGACCCTATAGTATTAACACCATCCATCTAGCCCTCGTGGGCCCCTCATGCCTCCATAAATATAGCAAAATCTTACTGTATTCAAGACTGAAGCTGTAGATCTGCATGCTGTTAGACACAGAAAAACAAGCAGTCTGCTGACATCATTAGAAGTGGTGGCCTGATCCAATCACAGTGCTTCCCCATAGGATTGGCTGAGACTGACAAACAGGCAGATCAGGGGCAGAGCCAGCATGATTCAAACACAGCCTTGGCCAATCAGCATCTCCTCATAGAGATGAATTGAATCAATGAATCTCTATGAGGAAAGTTCAGTGTCTGCATGCAGAGGGAGGAGATACTGAATGTTTGGATGCATTTTAGGCAGCCATGACCCAGGAAGGATCTCTAACAGCCATCTGAGGAGTGGCCAGTGAAGTTATCACTAGGCTGTAATGTAAACACTGCATTTTCTCTGAAAAGACAGTGTTTACAGCAAAAAGCCTGAAGGTAATGATTCTACTCACCAGAACAAATTCAATAAGCTGTAGTTGTTCTGGTTACTATAGTGTTCCTTTAATGATGTAAACAGGTTTGATTTAACAGTCAATCAGAGCCCCTGGTACAAAATAAAATGCAATATGTTATACATTTGCTACAGAACTTGTTTATAGGCTAAATAGCTTTCTAGAATCTGAAGCAATCATTGAAAGCAGAACATTCATGTACTCGATAACCAAGTGTAGCTGGATGGGGAACTGGTATGTAAATAACAGGAAGGGCTGTATTGAGAATTCTAAGCAGATCATTAGACAGGCGCTTCCTACATGTCCCTCCTATGAACGGTGCAGTACAAACAAAATAACAGGTCACTGGATTACAGGAGGACTTCCATCGAGGGGTAGGAAAGCAAATAACACTACTGTCAGAGATATTGTGCTACTGGTAGCCAAATAAACTTGGTTGTAATAACCTCTTCTGTGCTGGTCCCCTCTCCCCCCATCAAATGCCAATAAATAAGAAATGTACTTCCCTTCACAAAAGGGGAAGGGAGGTCAGTGGATGTGGGGCACGCTGCCATTGGCTGCCTGGTTTCAGCATGCTGTGTGTGCTATAGTCAGAACTGCACAGAATTATTGACATTTGTTGTGGGCTGGCTAATGACCCTGCTAGAGGTTGTGTTACATCTCTGGCAATGAATGGATTACAGCGCTTCAAATCAAAGCGCTGCACATACAGACTACAGGCACAATGACCACGTCAATTCACTGAAGTGGTTGCGGTGTTTGGAGTGACCCTTTCATGCTTGGGTCATAGCAGAAAGATGTCACGAGAAATATAAAACAAGGACTTAGACCGAACTATAAAATGTTAGGACACAGAACCAGTACCTGCTATTTGGGACATGTTTAAGGCTGTACACAGGATGCTCTGAGAATCCGCCATGTTCCACCTTCAGATCTCTTTCTGGACACAGTCCCTGCAGAGGGGGGAGGGTGGGAGATAAAGTAAATTTATCACTGTGTTTACAATGGAAAATACAAAGCAAGGAAACTGTCAGAATATGATCGGCTGAGTAAAGCCGAAAGGTCTGCGAACAGATATAACGAGTTGGGCTGATAAACAACACATACACTTACTGAGCAACCCGGCACCCCCACCGACAGTCTGTACCGATTAACCCATGATGAGCACCAGAACCTTATACTGTATTTATAACTCTGGCACCCAAGAAAAGACAAAAACCTGGATCCAGAGTACCATGACATGTCCCAGTAAGGTGCAAAATATTTAATCAGACAATCTTTGCTTAACCTCAAAAAAGGCAAATAATTGTGCAACACACACACAAAAGTGTTACATTTAAAGGAACACTATAGTGTTAGAAGCACAAAACACTATACCTTACACTACAGTGTCCCTCTGCCCCTGCAGCTTCCCGACAAATAAACTGTAAAAAATGTTGTTTTTTTTACTTACCTGATTCCAGCACGGAGGTCCCATGGCGCAGGATCAGGCTCCTCCTCCTGCCACTTCATGGCGATCCAGGAATCTAATGAGCAGCGAGTGCGGCGCTTCCCCACCGGAGAGCAGTATATGAATGCTTTCCTATGGGGATTTTTAAGACGCTGGACGTTCTCATGCAAGGCTTGAGGTAAACACCCACTAGAGGCAGTCTTAACCCTGCAATGTAAATTGGTGTTTCACAAAAATGTTTTACATTGCAGGGTTAAGAGGACAGGGACATTGCACCCAGACCACATCAATGAGATAAAGTGGTATGGGTGTCTATAGTGTCCCTTTAAAGCATCATTTGGAAAATAAAAATGATTAGCACTTTTAACTCGTGTCATTTAGTCCTAACTATACTGGGCTTTAATGCATTTAGGTCATAATGATACGTCGTGCGGGTGGGGTGCGAGCGGTGTTATATCCCTGCTCAAACCAATAAGTACCAGGTATCAATAGATACCTAGGGCTCTCCTCTATCAGTTGGGGGCATTTTTAGTGGCCCCAGACTTTTTGGTAAACTGCCTGCTGTACTAGAAGTCAGCATGGCATGCAGCTCCTCCTATAGCCATTTAAAAACCAATAATTAGATTGGGATGTGAGCATGGTTAAATCCGTGCTCAAGCCAGGAAAGCCATCTATTGACACCTAGATTTCCTGATTTGAGCAGGGATTTAATATAGATTATGGATTAACATTAGGATTAGAATAAGTGTCAAGTTTAGGATTAGGTTTATTTTTAAGATTGGTTTTAGAAATAATTGTGGGATTGGGATAAGGTTCAGGTTAAACTTCAGGTTAGGATTAGAGCCAGCAAGGGAATCCCTCTGCTGGTTTCTAACAATATTTATTGGGTTAGGATTGTGAATAGGATTACGGTTATAATTAGGGTAAGGCATAGAATTAGGATATGGATTAAGATGAGGTTTATTATTAGATTTACCGTTAGCTTTGGGATTAGGATTTGGTTTAGAATTAGGGTTTGCTTTAGCGTTTAAGGATTTAGATTGGGTCAAAGATTGTTACTTTGAAAAGGCATACGTATAGGATACAGTTGTAGTTGTAAACTTGTGAAAAATTGCAACATTTTTCTAAGGCACAATATAGTTATACACCATGAGATACTCTTGAGTTCTACTAAATGGTAGACCTTTGCAGGGTAATTTGTACAGTCAACCAGTTGCATTGCTCCAAAATGAGACATAGGCCCATCAAATCCGTCTTTCAAATTTTAACTATAAAAACGTAAATGGTCAGGTCTCTTAGATTAAGCTGTAGCTTCACAGGATAGCGACAAAGGGATACAATGGGGGTACAGAAGACGTATCTCGAGGTTTGTACAGTAATAGCACCCATGAGGTGTGCAAAATACCTTGTTATATATGTATACTTTTAAAATCAGAAAAAAAAAACCAAACAACATTTTATGACAGTATTTTGCAGAGATTGGAAGTTAAATGGCTATGAAAAAAGTAGCGAAGTACCCTTGGGTATATACCCTGTGATATCTACTTTATATAAATATATATATTAGTTGTGTTTAAATTGTGTTTTCTGTGATGGTTATTAAGCTTACAAGACAAACATACCGAATTGTCAAATTGCTTGACATTGAAATTTGATTTTACACCTTGTATTTTGTGACCTGTAACTACCAAAAATAAACTGAAAGCCTAGACATAATGTGTAAATCAAGACAAATACATTAAGTTATTTTGCATTACTTTTATTAAAGGAACACTATACTGTCAGGAATACAAACGTGTTAAACTAATGGTTTAGTTCACCAGCCCCTTTCGGATTGCTCTGAAAAGGTATTGAACTTCCCTTTTCTTCCCACGTCGTGCAGGTCTTGTCTCCATGGCTGAGATCATCAATCATGATGATCTCATTGAATTCAATGAGCCATAGGAGAGGCTATTGCGCATGCACGGCAAAACAGTGAGTTGTGCCAATCAGCATTTGAATCAATGCATCTCTATGGGGGAATGCGTCTCTGCTGAACATAAGTGTGTGTGTAACCTGGACTAGGAAGTACCTCTAGTGGCTGTCTGAGTGACTGCCACTAGAGGTGTGACTAGGCAGCAATGTAAACACTGACTTATCTAAAAAGGCAGTGTCTACATTGTTGAGCCTTCAGAGTCAGGCTATAGACACCAGAACCACTACATTAAATTGGAATGGTTCTGGTAACTCTAGTGTCCCTTTAAACTGCAATAATTATGCACACATTATTATTACCAAAACTGTGGACATTTGTTTTTTTATATAATAAATGAGAAGTTTTATATATATATATATATATACACAAAGATATATATATACACACACACACACGCCACATCAAATGAAAGCCTGTTTTGTCCTTTAAAAAATGGTATATAAAATAAGTGTTGTTGCAATAAATGGTAAGATGGAAGTTGAGGTTGAACACACACTTAACAAAAATGGAAAATTGTCTTCGGTCCTATTGAGAAAAAAAATGAAGCTTTGTCATTAAGAGGTTAAAATATAAATTTCACTACTAACAAATCATTACTTTTCAGAAAACTACCTTGACATGCGGTTAAAGGGGCTTTAACTTAACTAATGACCTGCTTTGTGTATAGATCACGTTGTTTATCAATTCTCTGCCATTTGGGAGTTAAATCACTTTGCATATGCAGCACACTTCCAGAGACCCTCCACAGACAAAACCTGAATCCCACTGCCGTCATTTGTGACGGCTGCTGGGATTGGGCAAATGTTGTCCACCTCAGGCTTTACCAGAAAAATACAAAGCCCCTAATTTTTCTATTGGTATCTTTGGATTGCGTTGAAATTTCAACACAGCCTAGATCAGTATTCAATAAAGAATATATCGTTGTGAAGTACTGAGAAGTGACAGATTTGCAATAAGCTCCACCCCTCACCAAGATTATCAATGTAGGAAGAATACATAAGACAAAGTAGTCCAAACTGTATGTTATTTTTTTAAAGAGAAAAGAGAAACAGATTCTGAAAGAGGAAGATAAGACAATAGAAAAGGTAAGCTTGGGGTGACTGAACAACTTTGAACAGAGGCCTTTATTGCTACATTCTCAGTTCTTTGAGAAGAGAATGATTCCAGTCTGAATGTCATGAGCAGGAAAAGTAATTTGTCATTTGAAATAATGTGTACAACTTTTAATTGATGAACATTCCATCGTGACACAGGGCATTTTTCATGAAGTGGTTTTGGCATAAAGACAATCCTCTCTGTGAAAACTGTTAGCAATGACAATTGCTGAAATGTGTAATAAGTGTGTAGATGTAACGTGGGTAATTTGTGTGCTGGCTGTGCTCTGTGTTTTGTTTTGCCTCCTCTAAATGATCCTTTCTGCAGGTACAGGTGCTAAAATTCTTGGTGGTCCAGCGCTCGTTAAACTCCTTGGGAACACGTGACAGATATTTCAATGTGCAGATCACAGTGATTGCTCTCGCTGATATCGCTTCCCTGTGGGGCTCTCAGAGGGCAGTTCAGTAAATGACAAAGAGTTGGCCTTTTAACTAGCTGTTCTCTCTTCAACGATTTCAAGCATCATAAAAATATCATGTCAATATTGTCAAAAAGTTTATATTTTATACAGTATGATTATAATCTGCTGTACACTCTTACAATTGGATTGAATAGTTTTTTTAAAAAAAATAAAATGTTAATAATTTGTTAGTGCTGAAACAGGGCACATGGTAATCTATGCATCACCTATTAGAATATGTTAAAGGATTACTTCAGGCATCATACCCATTACAGCCCACTGATGCCCCAACCTGCGGCAGATCAGCGTTATTGAGGCAATCTGTTTTAGAAATGTTTGGCTAGGACATCGGTCCCTCCGGGCGCAAAGTCTCCTGATATGGCTGCTGCAAATCAATCAGATTCAGCAAAGCTGACTGATCCTGCCAATCATTCACTGGCCGAGGGCAGCAACTGAGCACGGTCATCCTATGAATGAAAGTCTCTGCACAGCACTTAACGCTATTTCCATCCTGTCTAATGAAGCTGCTGGAAGTGGAGTTACACCTTTGGAAGCTACCCTAGATATATCAGTATGGGCAGCGTTTCTTGCACATAAAAGCCCCTTTCACCACGACAGCTTAAAAATACATACAAACAAGATGGCGGAGGACACTATTTCACTCTGATATTCTCAGTGTCTGTGCCGCAGATGGGGTCCTTGTTTCACCGACCAAAGTATAATTTCAACAAGACAACCTTAGCACCCAGTGTAGTGATAAATGGTAGTTTACTAGACTTGAGTAAAACATGTCTAGTGTTGAAACCTGCCACTCTGTGTTTATTACTACGTTGTGTGCTGAAGATCTCTCCTTGAAACTTCAAAATACAGAAATGGTCACGGTGCTTAGGTAACCATTTAATATTATTTATTTCTTGGTAAAAATTTATAGTAAAAAAATATCAAAATTAAAATAAATATAATTATAAAACCTATAACGGTTTATGTGATGCCAATTCATGTTCAATATATATTTCACTATGTAGGTTTATGGATATTTGGACTCTAGATGAAGAGGTCGGATTCTGTTAAAAGAATAAGTGAGCAGTTTCCTGCTGCAGACATAATTTACAAGGGTTTTAATACAACATCTACAGACCCAAATGCGATGGATTTTCTTTGAAAATGAGCACTTGCTTTTTTAATGTTTTTTTTTTGTTAATTTGTTTTGAAAAATTATTAGCACTACATTTAAAATAGGCTCTCTAATAGACATGCACAATTTGTTTTAAGTGATTTGTCAGAATACAATTCCTGGCAATCGAAAGATTTGATTCTGAAAATTTGATTCCTTCGCTAAAGAACCAAATCAGAATCATTCAAATTAAAATCCTTTTAAAAATGATTCTTATTCGGTTCAAATGATTCTGATTTGTTTCAGAATTAATTCATTCGACGATTCCCAGCAATTTTATTCTGATGCATCGCTTAAAACAGCGTTTCCCAATTGGTGTTCCGCAGGAAACCTAGGGTTCCACCAAAAATTTGTAAAAATAAAATGGCCATGGGCGGTGAGGGAGCAGTGATCTCCCTGCTAAGCTAGCTTGCGCGCACATCAGTGATGCTGGAGCCAGAAAATGACGATCACTAAGAGGCGCGCAAGGGAGCTGAGCAGGGAGATCACTGCTCCCTCGTCGCCCGCACGCCAGCCGCTCAGCAGTCCTACTGGACCCCAGGGACTCCATGCCAGCCGCCTAGCAGCCCCACTGGACCCCAGGGACTCCATGCCAACCGCCCAGCAGCCCCACTGGACCCCATGCCAACCGCCCAGCAGCCCCACTGGACCCCAGGGACTCCATGCCAACCGCCCAGCAGCCCCACTGGACCCCAGGGACTCCATGCCAACTGCCCAGCAGCCCCACTGGACCCCATGTCTGCCGCCCCACTGGACCCATGCCAGCCGCCCCACTGGACCCCAGGGACTCCATGCCAGCACTCCTAAAAATTGTATGTGTGTCTGTTAGGGAGTTTGTATGTGTTTGTGTGTCTGTCAAAGAGTATATGTGTGTTTGTCAGTGAGACTGAATGTGTGCTTGTCAGTGAGAGTGTATGTGTGTCTGTCAAAGAGTATGTGTGTCAGTGTATCTGTGTGTCAAGGTTTGTGTATGTGTCACTGTGTGTATCTAAGTGTGTGTGTATGTGCCAGAGTGTATCAGTGTGTTTGTATGTGCCTATGTGTGTATGTCTGAGTGTGTCAGTATGTGTATGTACCAGTGTGTATCTGTGGGTGCAAGTGTGTGTATATGTCACTGTGTGTATCTGAGTGTGTGTGTAATTGTGAGTCAAGATGTGTGTCAGTGTGTGCATCTGTGTGTCAAGATACACACACACAGATACACATTGGCGCATACAAACACAGATATACACACCTTGACACACATCGGCACATACAAACACAGATACACACACTTTGAAACATAGATGCACAAACCTTGACAAACAGATACACACTGTGTGTCAAGGTGTGTATCTGTGTACCACTATCTGCCAGTGTGTGTGTATGTGTGTCAGATTAATTCACACTGGCACATACAAATATAGATACACACACCTTGACTCACAGATAGATACATACATACACACACACTGAGATACATACATACACACACAGATATACACACACTGGCACACACAAGCACAGACCTTGACACATACAAAAAAAAAAGCTCCACGATGTTGATACACTATGTCAAAGGGTTCAACAGGAAAAATTAATTGGGAACCCCTGGCTAAAAAATAATTTTTGCACTTCTAGTCTTTAAACACCATGATAATAGTGTAACTCTGACTTTATAGAATAGTTTAAATTACTATTCACATAGAATTGTAATTTAAAAGTTATAGTTACTGGTTCAGATTTTTCTTATAAGAAAAGACTGACAATGTTTCGTTTTGCTTTAAAATATTTTATTTTGAGAAATGTTTTCAACATAATTGAGGCAACTAAAATCAATGTAATTACAGATATTACAGCAATGTTTTTTTCCCTAAATTCAGTATATGTGCATATACAAAAAGAAAAAAAAATATACACAAACATTTGTGTATGTACGTGTAAATGTATTGAAGTTAGTAAAACATAATCTAATACATATCAATATTCTATTGGGTTATCAAAAGATATAAAAAAATAACAGTTTAGCAATCTGTTACCCCAAGATAGTTTTGACCTACAACCTTTTAATTATCTTTCTATTGAATTCAAAGAATTTCTTGAATGGAGGTTAATCTCTGGTGAGTCATATTTGGACAATTCTACTATACACTTTTAGAGAACCCTACATTAATAATAGAGAGTTTAGCAAATCTGTCAAGTTACAAAATTGTAACATATCAAAAAACAAAAATAAAATAAATCCCTATCAATTTTTAAGCTCTTGTTGTGGCATTTTCTCAAGATCTACATCCAAGTTTCTTGCCCAATTCTTTAGTGTAAGGTTGTGGTTTTGAGGCAAAGTTTGGTGCTAAAAAAAGACCTCTTTGTGACTGCCAACTTACTTCTATGTCTTCCAAGGCAAGTCGTATAACGTCCGCCAACATGGGAAAAATGTGGCTAATTGAAGTTGGCTGATATTTTTTTTTACCTTGCCAGTTTTTGCTGCTCTTTGCAAAGTATGGTCTGTATCTCTGTTCCACGTGTTGTCTCCTTGCTACAGCGTGTTCCCTATCCACATTTGCATTGTGCGTCAAAACTGCCAATTGTGTTCTAGCAACGATCCCATCCACCGAAAAATGCACTTGATTGGGCCTGTATTTCAGCACAAGACTGTGAAACACTTCTATGTTGCCGTTGTGGCAAAACTGGGATAAGTGTTGGAAGTCTTTCTGTAATCTATCATCGTTAACAAAGGAGTCGAGTTTTGCAAATGCCATACTTTTTTTTTCAAGCCAGCAATATTGTCTGCCGTCTGTTTGTACTATTTCACCATGATCGCACTTATTTATCAGGGTTCCAGACTCCCATTCATGCACATTAGTAACATGGTGCAGTAGTGAATTCCACCGCTCGCGAAGCAGTTGAGGATTTCCTTTGCATGAAGAACAGGTTGCCCACATATGACTAATGATAGAATTTTTCCAAGGTGCAAGTTCTCTGCACATTCTCTGTTTGGATAAAGTGCTAAGTTTGCTCCGTAAACTCTTGCAGTAATGCCAAACATCAAACTGATGATCTATGTCCTTATAATTTTCTCGCATGATTCTGCAGATGCTCAGATTTTTATCAGTGGCTAGTACTGCAATCCTCAAACCTTCTGCAATCACTTTGTCCATGCACCTCCTGAAGGCTTTAGTCTTCATAGCAAGAGAAGACGCTGTCTCACCCACTTGGATTGTGTTGCATTCTATTATTTTCTTAGTGCTTTCTTCCACGATAGAGTAAGTGCAATACTTTCCACTAAAACCTTGGCTATCACATTGTCCATCTCCTGATAGGCACAATGCCCGTTCCATCAGACTGTCAATTACAAGTTGTCTTTCATTTCTATAATGCATGTCCACAATGGGAAACAAAAACTTTTTTTGATAAAGGCAATGCAATGACTCCGATATGAATGGTATTCCATAAAATTGGAATAATTCAAAAACTTTGGAGTAATGCGAACCGCTGAATAAAATGGAGGCACTTGCTAAAATATTTCCACACGCCCTTTTTCCAATCACTGGCTGACTCTTCCAGGCCACGCAGCGATGATTGTCTTCACATATTGTGTACACAGTCAGTGAAGTTCCACATATGTTCTTTTGTCTTTCAGTTATAGGCGCTTGACACGTGCCATAATTGCATGTTTCAAAACGTCTTAATAATTCGTCAAGACACGACTCGAAAACAATAAATTTATTTTCCGCAACAAAATCTTCGGGTGATGGATCAGTCCGAAAAGATAGTTCACCAATATCGATGGATTCGTTCTCAGGACTGTCATCAGGATCCATAAAAGATATATCCCTCATAGGTGATTCTAATTCAGGTTCTCTTGGGACAGTCGGGATCATTGAAGTAGGAGTCTGTGAAGTAGGAGTAAAAAGAGATTCAGCGTCTGTTTTAGAGGTTGTCATGGTTTTTGTTGGGATAGGTTCCATCTCTTCCACACAGGAAGATGAAACATTTTTCATTGCTTTTGACTTCGTTTTAGACTTTGCCGATTTGGATAATCCACATGTGACACCTTCCGTTTCAAACATTTTCATGGATTCGTCTGGCACACCAGTCCAAGTATACGCATCCTTTACTTTACACAAATCAAGAGTGTAGGTGGATACATTTTTTGTTGAAATGAAGGTTTGTGTAGATGCGTTTCTACGTCCATATAAATTGACCGTAGAAACAGATTTCTCACGTTTTTCAATTCTTTCAGTACATGTCCCAGTGCTACAAAAGGTTCCTTCAGTAGGTAAGGAATATGAATAATTTGGGACATAATCATGATCCATTACCACAACAGGACTATCAGGATCGTCCATGTAAGTGTCCGTTTCTTCGTATTCTGAGGACGTAAGGTTTGAAGTTGAAGTTGTCCCAATGCCACGAAAGAAGGACAAAACACTTGGCCGTGGAAAGATGGTGGGAACTGCGTTTGGTTTCAAGACCTTTCTTTTCTGTGTTGAAGAAAACATATCTGGTGCAAAATGTTCAGAACAAATTCTCATCGTGGTATGATGTATTCGTTTCATTATGTGATTGATGACTGCATCTATATCATCAAAATGATCACCGGTTGCTACCAGCCATTCCCTTACTCTTCGTGGTGATTTTGGAAATGTATGCAGCGAGAAATCTCCCTTTCTTGACCGGCTATTTCTGCAGCCTTTGATCATACAATTTGGCATTTTGTCTGTCAAAAGATAAAATCATATCATTAGGTAAGTGCATTATTTAAAAACAAAATAAATTCAAGAGACACTATAGTCACCAGAACAACTACAGCTTAATGTAGTTGTTCTGGTGAGTATAATCATTGCCTTCAGGCATTTTCATGCAAACACCGCCTTTTCAGGGAAAAGATAGTGTTTACATTGCCCCCAGGACACCTCCAAGTGGCCACTCCTCAGATGGCCACTGGAGGGGCTTCTTGGCTCAGTGCTGCACAGTAGGCAGCACTGCCGTTCAGCATCTCCACGCTCTGCTTGGGGATGCTGACTTTTCCTCATAGAGATGCATTAATTCAATGCATCTCTATGAAGAAGTGCAGATTGGCCAAACATCATGCCGATTTTATCCAATCCAATTCTATGGGAAAGCAGTGGATTAGCTAAAATCTGCAATTCTGATGATGCGGCGCTGGAAATAAGGTGAGTTTCCATTCCTTTGAAGGGGCCAAGCCACCAAACTAGTGGGTTTAACACCGTAGGGAAAGGAATACGTTTGTGTTCCTGACCCTATAGTGTTCCTTTCATAAAAATCAAAGGTCGCATAAAACACCAGCACTTTAGCAAGGACAGAATAGCAGAGGGGGAAGATAATGTTTAGAATAAAAATCGTGCATGCAAGCTTTGCATTTGTATGGACTCATAATACTATATCCACTATAGAGGAAAACTAAAACAAAACAAATAAAAAGAAAAGCATAAATATAGTATTTATATGTAATGTTTGGTAATGTAGCACAGAGCCCTACAATCCTAAAATTCACAGTAATGGGCAGTGTCATAGTGTATCACAGAGCTCAACAACTATGAAAAACACAGAAATGCACAGCGTCATGTGTCACGAAAATCATAGTAATACGCAGTGTCTGTGTATCACAGAGCTCCACATCCATGAAATTCACAGTAATGCACAGTGCCATAGTGTGGCGGAACCAGCCACCTATTTGGATTAAGTGCCTTTCTTTTGAATTATGGACCTTTCTGGTTCGGCAATTGGGGTTCACCGAACGGGTTATAAACGTGGTGTTCGTAGTCTGAACAAACTCCTTAACAGTTAGACCACCCAGGGGAGTCGTGTGCTGCCAACTGACCCTGTTAACCTCCTTCACACTTCGAAAGCACAACGTTCTAAGTGGTCGGTCGGGTGGCCGTCGTTCGTATGACCGAACACGTGGCGCCGGCCATCTTTAGCCGCGAACAAGTACAGCAGTGTTTAATCATCGAGTGCATGGAACTATAATCGGACACTAGACGGCGTGAACACCACTGGGACCTCCACCTCTAAGTGTGGTTGGTTCTATTAACCTGAGAAGAACGGCATTTGGTGGGAGCAAACTCCCGAACGAGGGGCACTCAACTAACTGATATTCAAACTGTTATATTCGTTATTTTATTGTGTTTCGTACTCCCAAAAGAGACCGACCGCCCCACCTGAATTCATGGGAACTCTTTTGGGCAGGCGCCTCGTGTGCAGTTGGTCGAAACTATACCCCGATGGTGTTTCGACTGCGATTGCGGGATCTGAATGCTTTCAGGATATGAGGGGCGCTCAGATCCAGGATACCCGGGGACATAGTACTTGAGGGGGTACCTTATTGTTAAAGAGGTGTTTTGGATGTTTATTAATGTACATGTCCTGGACCTGAGAGGTAATGTAATTATCTTGTGTATTTTGACACAGTCCCCTCGCAGGTCCACTGGGGAATGCCCCTGGAATATGTTACAGTAAACCCCTTGCATGGGGACACACATATAAGGCAGTGTGTCGCTCCCATTAAATAGTTGAGTGTATCGCCCGGTTACTGGGGGAATTGGGATTTATCTGCTGAACAACGCTTTGCTTCATGTTTTATATTTTACCCATGGAGATATTGGTTATTATTATTACAGCTCCGCTACAATTGGTGGCAAGCGACAGGATACAAGCCTTGCAATGAAAGGAAGCAGCATTTGTATGTGTTTGGATTATACACAAGCCTTGCAATGAAAGGAAGCAGCATTTGTATGTGTTTGGAAAGTGACACAAGCAGCGGTTTGTATGCAGTTCGGTTATACGAATGAACGAATGAATGGAGACGAACTATGCAGCACTGAAACGAACAACATTAAAATAACTATTAGAAACAAGGGGTAAGATAGCCAGCAAAAAAGCAAAAAGCTGTCCTTGTCGCTGAATTGATGGAGAGAGACCAAGCCAAAAGCGCTGCACCTCCACCAGCTATGGCTTAAACAGAGTTTGAAAGGGAATTGAGGACAAGGCTGGCATTCTACAACGGAACACCATCACAAGAAACCATGACAAGAGTAATGGCAGATGTACAGGACTACATATTGGCCAGACAACAGCAGACAACCCAGCTACAATTAGCAGATCGGCAGTCCAGAGAGGGATCACCAGCAATATCCGCCCTCATGCAGGCAAATGGATGTGCAGCTAAGGCATACAGAGTAGTACCCGACGAGGACAGCAAGAATTACAACTGGGTGAAACAAGCCATATTAGCGCGGTATGCCATCACACCCAAGGCATACCAACACCGATTCCAGTAACTAAGGAAGCAGGAGAAAGACTCGAACGCAGAGTGGCCTTACCGACTTCAAAGAGCCGCTATAGGATGGGTGCAGGTTAACCAAGCCAAGACCATGGAGGAACTACTTTAGCTGATACACCTGGAGCAGTTCTTCGATGGGCTAGTACCAGAAGTACAGGAGTGGGTAAGGGACAGTAACCCCCTTACCTTCACAGATGCCGCCTGGCAGACAAAACCACGACGCCAGACGACAGCACCCCACTTACTTTCCAGAACGGCTGTACCTACACCAGCACCACAGCGTCATGGGAATATGTTTAACCCCACAGAATCCTGGTTTCAACCTCATCCCAATATTAGATGCCATCAATTGGGACACGTACAGAGGGTATGCCCCCAGAGACAGAACCGCAACACATGGATTCGTCCCGGCCAACCACCCGTAAAACAGAGCAGCGGCCCATTACTATCAGACGGAGACTGAGCTCCTGACTACACTGAGGAATAACTGGGTGTCTTGCATGAGGCCGACCCAATCCAGGCTGCATCTGACAACCGGCAGCACCACTGACAAACGGTATGTCTGGAGGGTAAAAATATAATATTCAGTGTCTCAGACACAAGTGCCACTTTAACCCTAATAAGCACCACCTGGTTCCAGACACAGCCCGTACAGGAGGATCTGTGGCAGTATGGGTGGCAGGGGCTTCGCTTGCCTACTGCCAAGGTCCATTTGAATTGGGGTGTGGGGTCGGGAGTTGTTGAAGTGGATTTAATGCAGGAGCTACCCGCAGACGTGCTCTTCGGAAACAACTTGGGCAAACTAACTTCTGCTTTTGTGCCTCAACCTTTGCCCCAGGAGACTTACCCTGTGACCACCCGACAGCAGGCTCGCACCACGGGCCAACAATCACACTCTGAGGCTGACAACCACTCACCCATAGAGAATCTTTCCTGGGATGCCCCAGCTGAGTTTGAAAGGGAGATAGCCTTAAACACCACATTAAAGTTATATAAAGATCGTGTCACCTCCAGTCAGCCAGGATTTGAGGGGGAGAGATACTCCTGGGATAAGGGATTACTCTATAGGAACTCAGAGAGGGTAGTGGCTGGGTCCGTACCGACCCCCATGAAACAGTTAGTAGTCCCCCAGAAGTATAGGCAGGAGTTACTCCGGATAGCGCATAATATTCCGCTATATTCCACAAAACTTTTCCTGGCCAGGGATTTCGGAAGATATTTGCCAATGTTGGCAGATCTGCGACACGTGTCAGAGGGTAGGTAAGAGGGGAGACCGCCACAGGGCGAAACTTCACACTCTTCCGATTATTGAAGAACCCTTTAGCAACGTGGCCGTAGACCTTGTCGGGCCCTAAGCTAGACGCAGTCCTTCCGGCAAGAAATACATCTTGACCGTGGTGCACTATGCCACTAGATACCCAGAGGCGGTGGCGTTGACCAATGTCCATGCTAAGACGGTCGTGGATGCCCTGATGCGGATTTTATGTCGCATGGGGATTCCCCAAAAAGATTATTTCGGACCGGGGTACCCAATTTACCGCAGAGGTCACCCACCAGCTGTGGCATTAAGCCCATAGTAAACTTCCCATACCACCCGCAGTCTAATGGACTCTGTGAACGATTTAATGGAACGCTAAAGCAAATGCTATGTACGTTCGTAGACACTATCAAGGACTGGGAGAGATTCCTACCGCACTCCTATTTACATACTCCCCTTGTGAACTACTTTTCGGGAGGCAGCTGAGGAGACCCCTAGATTTAATTAGGGAGCACTGAGAGGGAGATGCTAGCACAGATGGTATCCCTATCGTCCCTTATGTGTTGGTGTTTAGGGACCACCTGGAGGAGCTAACCTAGTCTGTGCGAACGAACCTCCAGGCGGCCCAGCAACTACAGCGCACCTGGTACAATAGGGGAGCCAGGGGCCGCAGCTTAAAAGTGGGACAGAAGGTGTTGATTTTAAAACCCGTCCGCAATGATAAGCTGCAGGCCGCCTGGCAGGGCCTATGGTGGTGGAACAAAGATGTGACACAACATATGTGATTGGCCCTTTTTCTGGTGTAGGGGGGAGACACATGCTCCATGTGAACATCCTCAAGCCCTACCATGAGCATACGGAGGACGTGGTGGCTATCTGTACCCCAGCCTCTAAGGATTTTGAGAATCTTCCCCTACCAGACCTCCTATGGGAAGGAGATCAGACAGGTGCCCTTGGTGAGGTACAGTTAGGGGAGCGGTTGAGCTCTCAGGAGCGTACCCAAGTACAGGAATTAATCACGGCAAAGGGGGCCACATTCTCCAACCTACCTGGGTACACTCATTACCGCATCCCTGAATCCGTGAAAGAGAATATGCACAAGGAGATTCAGGAAATGCTTCAGTTAGGGGTTATTGAGCCGTTAGATAGTCCCTGGGCATCTCCGGTAGTGCTAGTGCCGAAGCGACCCGCTTCTGTGTAGACTACCGGAGGCTGAACGACAAAACCGTGTCCGACGCCTATCCTATGCCCAGGATAGACGAGCTCCTAGATAAGATGGTCAGAGGCCAGTACTGTGAAGGATTTTCATGTATTTACCTGTGTGCCTTCAGTTAAACCTTCTCCCTGCTGTTTAAATGCCTGTATCAGTTCGTTTCACTATGTATTGAATTAATGTATTCGTTTACCGAATGGAGACCACACACCCTGGGTAGCAATCAGCATTAGAACGCAGAGAAAACCGCGACTTAATTGTTACTAGGTGGCCGCCATTCGACATACGAACACGTGGCGAGAACAAAGGATGGCGGCCATCTTAAAACTCACGAATGCAGTCAGCGGGGCTTACACATGAATTGCCTGGAACTAATTTCGGCACGGCAAACATGCGAACGCCCGGTCCCCATGGAAGTCCTGGATGAATACATTCCCCTCCTCGAATCAAACTGGTGTTCGGTAGATAGAATCTACGGAATGAGGAGAACTTTCACATGTAACCAGCTGCACCATACGAACAGTGGTTTTCGTGTAGTTAGATGCGAACGGAGACCGGCCCTTGCTACTGATTCTAGATCGGATACCTCCACATGGCGAGCCGGTCAAACTTCCACACGGAAACTACCGAACGAAAGAGATTCGTGAGATTTTGATATATGACTACCAGTATCCTCAGCTACCCAGGGATGTTGAAATTATGTTTGTATGTTGCATAGAAAGTACTTTTCTGAAATTGTTAAAAACTGTAATATTTCTGGCCAGCAGATAATTGAGCTGTTTATATTGCTAAAACTCAATTATCTAGCCTGGCCCAGAGGAGGAGTTTTGTGTTGCATAAATTGTGAGTCCTGTGTTCCAGTAAATCAGTCTTGTTCCAGCATTAAGCTTTGGCTCATGTGTGGATTATTCGGCGATTCCAGGGATATTTCTACTTGTGGAAATATTGGGTGATTTCTTTTATGGGAAGAAGGGAATGCTTGACGGTGATACCCTTTACTACCGTCACAAGTAGCTCAGTACAACAGATCTTTGTAAGGGGTACTGGCAAATTCCACTAGCCGAGGATGCCATACCGAAGTCGGCGTTTGTCACCCTGTTTGGCCTGTACCAGTTTCGGGTCATGCCATTCGGGATGAAAAATGCCCCGGCAACTTTTCAGCGGATGGTAGATCAGCTATTGGATGGGTTCCAGGATTATGCTTGCGCATACCTGGACGATATTGCTATCTACAGCAACACATGGTCAAAACACCTGTGTTAGACCGTATTAGAGAAGCAGGCTTGACACTTAAAGCTAGCAAGTGTCATATAGGGATGGCTGAGGTACAATAACTTGGCCACAGAGTAGGGAGCGGTCAGCAGAAACCCAAACCAGCCAAAGTGGAGGCTGTGGCAAACTTGCCTAACCCCTGTACTAAAACCAAGATCGTAGCTTTCTTGGGAACAGCAGGGTATTACCGAAAATTTGTACCCAACTACAGCGCCCTGGCCAAACCTCTCACTGACCTAACCCACAAGAACCTCCCTAGGCAGGTAGTCTGGGCCCCAGAGTGTGAGCAGGCATTCCAACAACTGAAAACAGCTCCAATTAAAGTACCAGCACTTGCAGCTCCTGATCCAACTAAACGTTTTCTTGTTCACACATACGCTTCTATGTTTGGATTGGGGGTAGTACTGAGCCAAGTCGGAGCCGATGGCGGGGAACACCCTGTGGTTTACTTAAGCAGAAAACGATTACCTCGAGAGGTAAGCTACGCCGCCATTGAAAAAGAATGCCTGTGGTGTAGGCCCTTAAGAAATTACAACTTTACCTGTATGGACAACCCTCTTCATTGCTCACAGATCACAACCAGTTAGGGTGGCAGGAGACAACGCTTGGCTGCTTCACTGGAGTTTAGGGTTATCCAGACAAACTGAACTAGAGAAATCTGTGAGCACTCCCCCGGACATCCCCAAGCCGATCCGTTGGGAGCTTTGTGGTGGAACCAGCCACCTATTTGGATTTTAAATCATGGACTTTTCTGGAGTTCACCAAACAGGTTATAAAAGCAGTGTTCTTATACCTAACCAACTCGTGAACAGTTGGACCACCCAGGGGAATCGTGTGCTGCCAACTGACCCTGTTAACCTCCTTCACACTTAGAAATCACAACGTTCTAAGCGATTGGCTGGGAGGCCGTTCATATGACCGAACACGTGGCGACAGGCATCTTTAGCCGCGAACAAGTAGAGCGGGGTTTGGTCGTCGAGTGCATGGAACTATAATCAGACACTTGACGGCATGAACACCGCCGGGACTTCCACCTCTACGTGTGGTCGGTTCTATTCACCTGAGAAGAATGGCATTCGGTGGGATCCCGAACGAGGGGCACTCAACTAACTGATATACAAACTGTTATATTCGTTATTTTATTGTGTTTCGTACTCCCAAAAGAGACCGACCGCCCTGTCTGAATTCATGATACTCTTTTGGGCAGGCGCCTTGTGTGCGGTCGGTCTAAACGATACCCTGGTGGCGTTTCAGCTGCGTTAGTGGGATCTGAGTGCTTTAGGGGATATGCTGGGCGCTCAGATGCAGGCTACCCAGGGATATAGTACTTGAGGGGGTACCTTATTGTTAAAGGGGTGTTTATTAATGTACATGTCCTGGACCTGAGAGGTAATGTAATTATGTTGTGTACTTTGTCACAGTCCCCAGTACTTTGTCTAGTGGGGAATGCTCCTGGAATGTATTAGAGTAAAACCCTTGCATGAGGACACACATAAAAGGCCGTGTGTGGCTCCCATTAAAATGTTGACGCCCAGAACGGTGTATCGTCCGGTTACTGAGGGAATTAGGATTTACCTGCTGAACAACGCTTTGATTCATGTTTTATATTTTACCCGTGGAGATATTGGGATTTATTATTACAGCTCCGCTACACATAGTATATCACATAGCTCTCCATCCATACAAATAACAGTAATGCAGTGTCCGTGTTTTACAGAGCTCCACATTCATACAAATCACAGTAATGCAGTGTCAGAGTATCACAGAGCTCCGCATACACGAAAATCACAGTAATGCAGTGTCCGTGTATCACAGAATCCACAGCCATGAAAATCACAGTAATGCAGTGGCAGAGAGTATCACAGAGCTTTTCATCCATGAAAATCACACTGAAATGTAGAGTTTGATAGTGTAGCACAGAGCTTCGCAGCCATGAAAATCACTATAATGCACAGTGTGTCAGAGTATCACAGAGCTCAACATCCATTAAAATCAGAGTAAGGCACAGTGTGTCAGAGTATCTCAGAGCTCCTCTGACATGCACAGTGTGTTTGAATGTGTCACAACAACCATAAACAAACCATTAATAATGTCAGGTGTGTCTAAATGTATTGAAGAGCTCTACATCAATAACAGTGACGGATATATCCACTGTGCTGAGTGCAAAGCAGAGCTTCACAAACCTTAAAATCAATCACATGCACAATGCGTGTACCACAGAGCTCCAAAAGCATAAAAATCCCTTAAATAGACAGTGTGTATGAGTGTGTCCTGCACATTGATGTAAAGAAATTAAATGAACAGTGTGTGGCAGACAAATAAAACACACAGCACTCTCAGCCAATTTAAGCCATCAAGGATAGAAAACAACGGGGAAGATTTATCAAAGATAAATCACGTGGCCTAAAATAATAAAAATGTGATCGTTACCAAGGAAACCTGTTGAACGAACTGGCAATTTTCATAGATGAAAACGCAACCTTTTAAAGAATAGCTATACTGTTTAAAACAAAACACTTAGATAAAAACCCCAAATTGGCGTGTGTAATGCAATGTCCAATCATTGGCTAAGAGTATCTACAAAGTGCTATCAGATAATGACCATTAGAATCACGGTGCAAGGCTTACAAATAAATCTAAAAATGGCTAAAGAAAACAGCTGCAACAGGTGGAGTTACATTCGGACAGCAGATCTTTATGTGAAGACTTTATAGGGACACTATAGTCACCAGAACAACTACAGCTTATTGAATTTGTTCTGGTTAGTAGAATCATTACCTTCAGGCTTTTTGGTGTAAACACTGTCTTTTCAGAGAAAATGCAGTGTTGACATTACAGCCTAGTGATAACTTCACTGGCCACTCCTCAGGTGGCTGTTAGAGATCCTTCCTGGGTCATGGCTGCCTAAAATGCATCCAAACATTCAGTATCTCTTCCCTCTGCATGCAGACACTGAACTTTCCTCATAGAGATTCACAGAGCTGTGTTTGAATTGTGCTGGCTCTGCCCCTGATCTGCCTCTTTGTCCGTCACAGCCAATCCTATGGGGAAGCATTGTGATTGGATCAGGCCACCACTTCTGATGATGTCATAGAAAGTTTACAAGCAGAGGCAGCAACTTCAGACTTGAATACAAGTAAGATTTTACCATCTCTAGGGAGGCAAAGGGGGCCAAGGGAGATAGATAGTGGTTTTAACACGTTAGGGTCAGGAATACATGTTTGTGTTCCTGACCCTATAGTGCTCCTTTAAGAATGAAACACTGGATTGTAAAGGTTTCCCGAACCATGGCCATTTGTGAAGACAGAAGTGATCATGACACTTAGATAACACATTTAGAAAATCTGTGGACTTACCTAATAATGAAGTTTATTTGTGGTATTTTGGACTCTCCCTGGATTTTACAGAATGGACAGCCCCTACAAAAAAAACAAAAAAAAAAAATAAAAAAAAATAAAGATGAACTATTTTTTTTTTTCAAATCAGTATTTGTCAACAAAAGAACAAAAAGAAATAATAATGTATACGTATTTGAAAGGAATATTATTATACAAAAATATGCATTTATATAAATCTCTGTCTAGAACATATAACAGAGAAGGGGGTAGCGAATGAAAAGAAAGAAAGAGATATAAAATAAAAACTATGATAATGATATGAGAGAATTAAAGAGGATTATACCATGTTCAAAAAGGAATATAAAAAATGCAACTTACCAACTACAGTGGGTTAGTTGATGTTTGTTCTATTACACACTGCAAGAATTCCACCAAAATCCTAATAAATAAACAAACCGTTATTTTTAATCAATCAGCAATGTCAAATATATAAAACATTTTATTTAGTGAAAATACTCATCTATTAAAGAGCAAAATGAAATTTAGATATTTATAGCCCAGTTTTTTTTAATTCAGTAGTTTGGTATAACCTGGCAGCACCACAGTACTTATTAAAACATTTTGACTCAAGAGCTGGGTCTCGCAGGGCACATGCACTTCTCCCAGTCTAAGCAAACTGTTCCCAACATGCCTCAGTCGTGTGGATTTTGTTGAGGGTTAACAAAAGTATAATGGTTACAGTAAAACTACAAGCAACATAATCACTCAGGTAACAGGAAATTCCGGATACCAGTAAGCAGTAGTGGAGGCAGGGAGTGGTACCCAGCATTTACCATGCTCTTGACTTTTTAAACCTGCAACTGAAAGAAATTGCTATTTTGCAGGAATAACAATGTTTAGATTGCAGAATTAACATGTCTTTGTGACAGCCAGTAGAGTCGCTTCTGCCAAAACTGCCAAGTTAAAATCCGTTATTCAACCAGATGGTCTCATAGAGACCATCTGATTGGCGCAGTCCTGCATTTTGCTGCGCATGCACACTAGCCTCCCAATGTTTCCTTACGGGAAAACATTGGAATGGTTGAGATAATCAGTCTTAAAGTTCTCTGTTCGGGAGGTTGTTTGACTCGGAAACTAGCGTGCCTCAGGATATAAGGTAAGCAAAAGTTACTTTGGGGGACACCTAAATAGATAGGGAAAAACTGTAGTGTTAGGAATATATAGACAAAAATGTTTGGAGGTAGTGTACCAATGAGAGGATACTGGGAGAAAAATGGTCTGTAAAGTACTAAAAGTTTCTACAATAAATGTAGAAGTCTAAAGTACACTTGAGAAACTAGAAAAATAGAAAACAAAAGAATTTATTCATAAAATGTAAAAATTGCAAAAAATAGCAATCACCCAAAGTGCTACACACTAAATAAATAGTGGAAACCTAAAATGAATGGGGTAAAATAAATGCGGAGCTCGATAACTCGAAGTAAGAAGACTCTGAAGTCACACGGTATATAAATCATGAGAAAAAGCACACGTCTGTGCTAGCCGGGAGATTGTATCTGATAAATACCTACTAATATCGGGGGAGTATAGAATTGATTCTAATTAGTGGAGCAATATAGGATGTAGAGCATATAAATCCTATATGTTGCATATGTGGGATACAGGTAATAGTAAATAGTAGAAATAATATATAGTTCCTAGTTCAAAAATGCCTAGGTTGTCAGTATAAAGATAACAGTGGTGATACTGCTGATAGCATATGAATACCACATACAATGATTAGCTGTGAATAATGTTGTAATCACGTGCAAGTCACTGGTCAATAAAATGCAGTGCACATATGTGCTCGTACAGAATTTCCATGTAAATGGCTGTGCGAGCGTCGACATGACTGAGGCATCAAATTCACAAAGAATGTGAAAGTGCAGCAAAGGGAAAAAAATATTGATATTTATTTGTTGTGTTATGTCCCCCTTTAAATGCTGAAAGAATTACAATTTTTTAAATAATAAATATAAAAAGGGTTATATTCACAAAACAGTTACTGAACAACTGCAAAGTATAATATAGAAAATAATAAAAATAATAAATATATAATATACTTACAAAAGTGATGAGCTGATTCTTCTTCAAGTGACCTTCGGCAATGTCTTCCTCTCCTCTCCAGCACTGTTCCGTCAGGGCGTCTTCTGTGGGATCATATACAGTAACCTGAGAAATCTTATTAGATCTTACAGGTTACGGGCTCAGAGCGCATGCATGAATTGTGCTCAATTTGAGCCGAGGAAGAAGGGGTGGAGAGAGGATGGCATGGAGGGATGGGAAGTAAAAGGGGGAGGACATAAAATATAACGTAAAGAGGCTGGGAGGGCTGGACATGGGGAGGTTTTGAGGGAGGGGAAAAACAATCTATTAAGCAAGTGATATGTACTGTGTGCGTTACAGTCCTACAGATTTCTCCTTGCAGAAAGCTTATTACATCCCCTGCCGGCACACAGTGCGTGCTAAAGATGGATGCTTTTTATGCACAGAACTGACATTAGTCAGTTTGGAACAGAGTTCCGTGCTAGATTTAATACTGTAGGATAAGTTTTCGCAATTACTTAATATTTTTAGATAAATTTTTTGGTGATTTTTCTTTTCAACACACTAAATATTTTTTAAAGTGTTTTTTTTGTATATACATACATACATATATATATATCTCTATCATCATTTTACAAAATACAAATATGTTTTACAATAATAAATACTTTTAAATTTGAATCCAAAAACAAAAAACAATATTAAATTAAGGCCCAAGTCATGTGTCCTTGATGTGTCTATATACTGACACAAATGCAGTAATTTCTCTGTATAGGTAGCCTTTCAAACAAACTCTGCACATACAGACTGCTTGCACCACAGCAGAAGGGGTCATGGTGGTTTGAGTAGCCCTTTGAGTGGTTCAATTTAGAATATCTTATCTCCTGCTCAGGTAATTCTTATCTGGAGCCTGAAGGAGCCTTCTGTGCGTGATTAAAGTTCAATTAACAGAGCAGGAGCTACAAACTTTTGAGGTAAACACATTGTGCTGTAATATCTGATTGAAAATAATTTTTTTTCCCGTAGGCTGTGTGAGTCAAAGCCAGGGGAGGTGTGGCTAGGGCTGCATAAACAGAAACAAAGTGATTTAACTGCTTTATGGCAGAGACTTGAGACTGCAAGGACATTATGCATACACCAAAAATGCTTCATTAAGATGAAGTTATTTTGGGGCTTTGAGTATCTCTTTAACAAACGGACTTGTTGGTTACCCTTTGTACCCTATAATTAGGATAGATGGTAAATGTTAAACTGTATGGTATTAGGTTTGAGGTTAATGCCAAGCAGTTTCCGTATGTTCTCTTTATTTAAATGGATGTGCCCAGTGATGCTTGCTTCTCTTGCATTAAGAGGAAAGCAAAAATAGAAACAACACAATGTGCAGCTTAGTAGACAGGACCCTCTAGTAAAACCCACATAGAAAACAATGGTTTGCCCTTTTCATTGCTTAAATGCCTTTGAAGGAATGTTTCATCATTCCCAGTCTACCTAATATGTGGAGCAGTGTCCACGTTGGCCAACGCTAGCTGAAAGAACAGAACAATACTGCCACCTGGTGAACTGATGGGAAAATGCACATTATGCAGCACAAACAATAAAAAAAAAAAAAAAAACCTGAGCTAATTAAAGCGATGACTTATGGCACAATGAAGGCTGGACTAACGGAGCATCAGGGATGTGTAGTTTGTATCCATCTATGGTTCTAAATTCTGCCTATGCTTGTGGTATAAAAGAAACATGACGCACTCTTGCATTACACAGTACACTGAGTGCACAATAACCCGTCACTATGGAATATGTGCTTTGAAATGTAGAAATACAATAGTAAACTGGTCATAAAGCAGTTTATTGTGAGATCCTCACAAACCCAGGTGCATGTGAGCCCTCACCAGGGTCCAAGCTCAGTGTACTATCTAGCTGAAATCAAGCCATGTTTCTACTATTCCTCCGGGTGAATTACGCCTTTTGTGAAGGTACCCTGGAACAAAAATGCAGGAAAGGTCTGCTTGGCTGCTGGTCAGTGACTTGCAAACAAATCTAGCAGAGACCTATAGACAAAAGATTGAACTTCTATTTCACTGCATATTGGAGATATTTTACTCTCTGGGAACATTAAGGGATTACTCCAAGCGCGAGGACCAGTTCAGTGATGAAGTGGTCATGATGCTTGGATCCCAGTGATGAAGTGGTCATGGTGCTTGGATCCAGTATGCGCAGTTTTTGAGTATGAATCAGAATTATTTCAGGTGGTATCTGACCCATTGTAGTGCCCTCAGTAAATCGGCAGCCAACCCAACTAAGTTAACGGTTTGCTCCATTACTGGGGAACGACGCCGGGGTACTCCTATAGAGGGCTGTAGTGGCTATGATGTTTGAAGTAACCCTTTAAGTGACATTTCCCCAGTCCTGATAAAGTTAGGCTAAGTTTAAGTTACATTTGTGTATTATTATTTATTTAGCGCCAACAAATTCCGCAGCGTTGTACAATGGGCATAGTCGAGCTGTGTTACAAACTGACCTGATTTTCTACTGCATGTAATTTCGGTGGAAGAAGCAGCTGTAAAATCTCATTCGTTTTGGCAGATTCAAAACCGGCTATGCAGATAGCTGTGGAAAAATGCTTACAATTACACCAGACTCTCAGATACTACATTGAAAATGCAGGAATAAAAAAAGCTATTTGCTTACTTTTGTCACCAATCCACTCAAGAACTCTTGTGGGATCCTGCAGTTCAAAGTCATGTAGGTCTTTATATCTGAAAGGAAATAGCATTAGTGATTATTTGATTAATGTCCTTTCCCCCCCTCTGTTCTGTAAATGCTTACAATGGCATTTATCTTTACACTATTAATGGAGCATGCTAAGCAACAAAAACACATTTGTTTATTGATGTGGTTATGGTGCCAGGTTACTGCCCTTCAACTTATTGTTAGAATAATTTGTCAAATTGACGACTAAGGTCTTGAAAGTGGATGCTGTAGCTGTGCCTTGTCAATCAGAGAACCAGAATGGCATTTCCTGTTTTTGAGGTTCTCTCTTCAATTCTTACATGGCCACATTCTTGATGGACAGATATATATTTATATATGTACATATATACTCCAGTTTAATGCTTAAATTAACATTATAGCGTTACAAACCTGAATTCCTAATGCTTTAGTGTTCTCTTTACTTTCCCCCAAATCTAAATAAAAACTAGAATAAGGTATATTATTTACCATTTTCGAAATGCCAAGAGTCACTACAGCCGCTTGAACGGCCTCCCGTGACATCACTCCGACCCTTCTAACCATCCAATCCAACGCTTCTCAGAGGAGCAATAGGAACGAAATGGATGACTTTGTAATCACTGGAGAAGTGCTTTCAGTGGCTGTTTGGAAGACAGCCACTAGAAGCATATTTAACCCTGCAATGTAAGCATTGCTGTGACCACTAAAAGGCAGTGCGTTACATTGCAGGATTAAAACTAAATGACCACTGCATCCAGGCCACTTCAATGAGATTCAGTGGGTGCTTTTAGTGGTCATTCGAGCATTTGCTAGCTATTTTCTGTGTTATCAAACAATTTAGTATGGGGATAGGTTTAATAATAATAATAATAATAATAATAATAAGGTTTGCAGACGGCATTTGACATATGATGTTCTCCTCCATTTTGGGTGACACATAGACTTTTCTTCCACTGACGTTGAGGAATTATTTTATAATTTTATTTGTAACTAGACCAGAGAATTTAGTGTAAATGGCAGAGTGTGGTTTATGTTGATATGGAAATTGTGCAATTGCAACAAATTGTCAATCCAGGGTGAGCCTTTACGCAATATAATTAAAGGGACACTATAGTTACCAGAACAACTACCGCTTAATGAAGTTGTTCTGGTGAGTATAATCATTGCCTTCAGGCATTTTAATGAAAACACTGCCTTTTCAAAGAAAAGGCAGTGTTTACATTGCCCCTAGGGACACCTCCAAGTGGCCACTCCTCAGATGGCAACTGGAGGTGCTTCCTGGATCAGGGATGCACAGTAAGCAGCACTGCCGTTCAGCGTCCCCACGCTCTGCATGGAGACGCTGAATTTTCCTCATAGACATGCATTGGTTCAATGCATCTTTATGAGGAGGCGCTGATTCGCCCTGCCCCCTTGCCGATTTTAGCCAATCCAATGCTTTCCCCGTGGGAAACCATTGAATTGGCTAAAAATCAGCACTTTTGATGATGTCACAAAGGGGGAGAGGCAGCACCAGAAGACCCGTGGAGAGCTGAAAATAAGGTGAGTTTTAACCCATTCTGAGGGAGCTAAGGGGTGAAGGGTGCAAGCCACCTAAATGGTGGGTTTTCACTATAGGGTTAGGAATACATGCTTGTGTTCCTGACCCTATAGTGATCCTTTAAAAGCAGCTCACGGACTGCTGTTGGGGCTGAGACTGAGTAAAGGGGCATGGCTAAGGGGACAGGCTACTCTGTCCATGTGATCGTGAGTTCCTCGCGATCACATGGCCCAAGAGGGCCAGATCGGCAGCAAGGGGGCTCCCTGGGATGCCAGGTAAGTCCCCCAATCGTGATCGCCGACGGGCAGGTAAGTGGACGTGCTATGCCGCCCGCCGGTGTTTAGAGCCGCCCGCCGTCCTTAAGGGGTTAAAGTCAATATTGCTGAGCTGCAAACATTCTCCAAGTCAGCTATGCTTCCAGCTTCGGCTACTTTGGTCTTTAATTTGAAATTCACTTTGCAACTGATTTGGAAAAATTCTCATCTATTGTTTAATCTATAGTTTGGCTTACAGAGGAACGGTCACTTACAGAATGTTTACACATACAAACAGCTAATTATTTTTGTATTATTTAAAAAAATTAATAATAAATATATATATTTATTGTTCTCACCAGATCTCATTTTCTAGTTAACACTCCCTGCAAACTAGTGTAACTCCTGGTGTACTAAATGCATGTGCACATATGAAATGAAGGAAGGATTGTCTTTGTGTGCATGCGCCAGTAAGGAAGGAGAGGTAATCCTCTGCGTTTTTCACGACATTACATGCTGCAAAAGCATAATTTACTCAGTCAGAAAACAATTAACTGTCAGTTTACTCAATTCAGTGTAAAGCAAATAAACCCAAAGGGAAAATAAATAAAATTTTATAATTGAAACCAGGAGTGTAGCTGGGATCAAAAAGCCCAGAGGCTGTAGCCCAAATATAATTTGGTAATGCTTTCCTAATGGCCCCTCCCCAAAACAGCACCCTTTATCACGCCCCTTGACACACACCCATAGATATAAGCCCACAGGCGCATCCAGACACACAAAGGCACACTTGTATAAGATTTTAGAAGGATATGGGCTCCGTTGGAGGCCATTTTCGTGCAGGGGGTAAGGGGACGGTAGGTCTGGTATCGGTTTCAGGGACGGCGGCCGCTAGCCTCCTGTAGGGAGAGCAGGCAGCTTTCTACCGGCCCAGTTCCTCAGGCCCTTTGTACGGCCGCTCCGGCCCAGCAGCAGCGCAGTAATAGAGAAACGCAGCGAATAAGATGGCGTCCCACATTCGCCGTATCTCTATCACTGCATTGCTCCTGGACATGTCCGATCCCCGGTTGGGGGGCACAGCATGCCGCCTGTCATGGCTACAGGGCCCCACATTGGGCTGTAGCCCCCCCTCCTCACCATGGCCCTGATTCAGACTGTAATGGCCAGCCCATGACCATAACCACCTTCATTTTGCCATTTGCTGCTTATTGAACCCTCAATAAAGAGGTAAATCAGGGTTATTCACTAAAGTGAGAATTGCAAGGCATTCCATCTGAATTTAATGACAGAATTAGCCCAGCTGGTTATTTCAAACTGAGAACAATAAACTGGCTGGGAACTACAACTCCCAGCATGCTCAGCCCCCCTGGGGATGCTCTCTACCTCCGTGTGCACTGCTGGGGCGGGATCCCAAGGAACACTCACAGCCTGATAGAACCCAGCATCCACTCTTCATATTCCGCTGACTCCATTCTCCGACACACCGCGTGCCCAGCGTCACTTCCTGCGCCGCCAGGCCGCGCGAGCGCCGGACGCCATCTTGGTTGAGGGCAGTGATTGCTCCAAAACCCTCACACCGCCGCTAACTTCAGCTGGCGCCTTTCTCTGACCGTAACAAAAAACCGTATACTGTGCGGTACTGTGGATGCAATCTTAAATATCTATCCAGGATCGGGATTTGCGCTGCCCTAAACAAACATGGCCCCCCTGCTACCCCCGTCGCCTAGCACCGACAGCAATACAACTTTATTGACACCAGTACAATTTCGCATTTAGGCGCAAATAAAAACAACCAAAAAAACAAACGAGCGCTGTCTATTGATGAATGAGCATAATCCTTGAGTTTTGATATTTCCTTTATTTTTCGCTAAGGATCATGGTAAATGTAGGCCGCGCATGGAGTAAAAGAAGAAAAGAAAAAAAAAAAAAGGTTCTAGCGGGTGCCATCCTTAATGTCTCGCGCACGCCCAGGTGGGCGGGGCCAACGACTGGGGCTGGAAGGAGTTTATAACGGCCAGGCGCGCGGTGTGCGCACGCGCCACTCGGAAGCGCGCCAAACGGCTGGTCTGTCTGTGTGAGGTGAGCGGTTGGTACCCAGTCAGCGCCGGTTAGTGCTTGTTGTGTCAAGGCTCTGTCAACTTTGTATTTAAAAAAAAAAAATAAAATAAAAAAAAAAAATTAGTTTTCTCCTGCAAGGGGAGTTCCTGCAGGGTCAGCAATTTAATTTGCATTACAAGTTTAAATTTGTAAAACTTTTATTTTTTTTATTTTTTTATAAATTAAAATAGTATGTATGTGTTTACTTATCATTTTTATTTGACAAATAGGTATCTTATGTTATGACCAATAAAGCTGAGCTCCACCCACCTGGTTATCCTCTGCCCCTGGGTGCCTCCATCTTGGTTCCCTGTCAGCCATTGTTTATAAGATCTGTCAGTCAGCTCAGAGAAAGCACTCTGGGTTATTGGCTAAAGGCAGAATAAACCGTTAACGAGACGCTATAATCACCAAAACCTTAACGAAGCAGTTTGGGTGTATAGATCGTGCCGTATCACTGCTCCATTCTCTGCCATTTAGGTGTTAAATCACAGTTTATACAGCCCTAGTAACTCTTACCTGCATGTGACTTGCACAGCGTTTCTTTAAAAAAAAAAAAAAAAAAAAGTTTTTAAACTTCCCAACACCTGTTAGCGATTGGGGCCGGCTGTATTAATCCAGTGACGGCACCATCTCACAGCCTCTTGCACACTTTCCGTATCTCCTGCTTAATGTTAATAGCTTGATAGAGCTTGCAGGGGCCTCCAGTGCGTGATGTTAGAGTTCAGCTAACAGAGCACGAGACAAGAACTTCTAAAACAAGTTAACATCTGATTGAAGAGAAAATTTTGGCTCCTAGCCTGGTGAGGTTTGGCTAGGGCTGCATAAACTGAAACAAAACATTAAAAGAACAGTTTAGGCACCATAACTTCATTGACATTAAGTTGTTTTGGTGCCAGGATGTCCCAGTGCTTTCTCAACTTAAAGGATCACTATAGTGTCAGGACCACAAAGTGGTTTTGCTGACACTATAGTACCCTGAGGGTGCCCCCACCCTCAGGGTCCCCCTCCTGTAGTGCTGAAGGGGTTAAAACCCCTTCAGCAGCTTACCTTTATCCAGCGCCGGGCTCCCTCTGTGCTGGTGACCTCTCCTCCCTGTCCGACAGCAGCTCCCTAGTGGAGCGGAATGCACATGCGCGGCAAGTGCCGCGTGCATTCAGAGAGCTTTCCTATGGACGTTCTGTGCAATGGATGCAAAATTATATATATTTATATAAAGTGGTCATCAAAGGCTATTTTCCTAGGGTTATTTTGACACTGTTTACGTAGCCATTTCATAGCCAGTCTCTGCTAAATATTGGAGTAAAATTGTGGTTTTTCTTTATTTTTGGCATATACACATATAACAAGGTTTTTGTAATGTGTAGTTCGAACAGCTGTTGTGTGTGCTTTTCCTTCAGAGAACCCCATATTGTGTTCAGCTACATCTGCTGAGTATAATGATACCCCCATTGTATACCTTTGGCACTATTCTGTGAAGCTACAATGCCATATAAGAGACCAGGTTATTTCAGTTTCTATAGTTAGAATTTTCATAGATGGATTTGACGAGCCTATGTCTCCTTTTACAGTATTTATAAAAGTGTGAGTATTCAAATAACCCCCACAAAAGGCTTTCATTTGATAAAGTAGACACCCAGGGGTATCGTATATGGCATATATTGTGCCTTAACTTGTCACTTTATGTCAAGTTTTGTGGCGAGGGGAAAAAAATTGAATTTTTACATACATTTTGCATTTTTGCAGAGTGTTTCTTACACTTGATATGCACCACTGTCATAAAATCCCCTAAATTATGCTCCGTTACATCTAAGTAAAATATGCCCAATGTATGACATTATTTTGTGAAGTTACAGTGCTGTAAAAGAGACGTGACAAGTTCAGGTTTTCAAGTGTGAAATTTTTTTATGGAGGATTTTGATGTCACTGTACCGCTTTGGAGCACTTGAGCAGGCTGCATATTCCAGCTACAACATAAAGCATACAATTTCTTGAAGACATCCCAGGGTATTTCAAAAGGCATATTTTGATCCTGAGTGTGGGATAATTTTTTCGCTAGCTTGTACCAAGTGTAGTGGTAATAAGCATTTTTTTTTCTGCCTTTTTGACACACTAAGTGAGTTTGCACAGTATATTATGCAAACCTTATGTGCTACGGCTGTATAATACTTCATATGTTGCTCAGCTATGTTGTCTAAGTACAACAATACCCCCGTATGTATGTATGTTTGCCAGGTATAAGTGGATGTTGAAGGGGCACATTTGAGACGCAGCCATTCAGGTTTTTTTCCTAACTGCAGTTTTACGCTGTGTCCATGTCCTTTTTTGGAGTAAGTTAGCTGGCTGGTTATTCAAACTTCCCCACTAACACATACTATTTTTTTAAAAACCTTGTAATAATTCAAAAGGAATTTTTTGAACTTAGTGTGGGATAATTTTTTCGCTAGTTTGTTCCAGGTGTAGTGGAAATGAGCATTTTTTTTAAAATGTATTTTTAAAACTGGTTTTTAATCTTTTTTTTTTTGCTTATTAAATTTATTTTACTTTTTAAAACTTTCTTGAAACTTTTTTACACTTGTAAAATTTTTATAAATATTCTTTTGTTTTTACCCTTAAAGGACCACTATAGTGCCAGGAAAACGAGCGCGATTGGCTGCTCCCTGTCTGCCTCAAATACTGAGGCAGAGCGGAGGAGCGTTGACCCGATCTGGGGCTAATTTTAGCGCATGACAGACTGGTCCTTACGCTTTAGATGAGGACATCCAACATCACTCAAACCCCATAGGAAAGCATTGATTCCGTGTTTTCCAATGGGGAAAGCTTAATGCTCGCTCGCAGTGCATGCCATTGGCTTTTCCCAATTGCTGATGTTGGAGGGGGCAATGATAAAGCAATGTATTTCTAATGCCATAGTGTTCCTTTAAAGGTGGGAGTGAGAATTAATTTTGTTCCTTACATATACCTTGTGGCGGACCACTTGGTACGTCAACTGAATATCTCCGCCAATTCTCGCTATCTAGTTATCACAGAGTAAGCACTTCGCTGGGACACCATGATCACTTCCAGCCCCTAGCCAATGCAGCTTGGCTGGGGTCTTGCCACCTCTTCCCACCCTGGACCCAAGCCCTGGATCCAGCTCCCAGTGGTTGGAGCTCTCCTCCAGAGAGTATAGCATGTAAATAGAGCCATATAGCTTTTCCTCCCCCACACATTAGCCGAGACTTAATGCAGGCAGTAGACTCTCTTTAATCAGGGCCACACACGGCCTTTTTATGCACCAGTCCACTGCAAGGGGTTTCCAGCAGAAAGTTACAGGGTAATCCATCCTATGACTTTCTGTGCCTGAGAAATAATTGCCCAAGCAAGCCTCTTTAATTTAATTAACTTTTAGGTACTGAAAAATCTACAGCAATTCCTTTCGCATTATAATATTTCAAAAGGGGTTATTTGATTGAAGGTCAGAGCTTACAACCCAGTTCCACTTTGAAGCTGGGACCTCCCTCCCAACAGAGCTTACTCGGCCAGCCCACTCGGCCAGGTGTAACAAGTCACACACAAGTGGCCTGGAAGTCTGGCTGCAGCCCAAATCAACTTTTATTTGTCACATGTCCTAATTGCCTCCTAGATGAGAAGTCCTTTGGCATGTTAATGCTCATCGGCTTTCAGGAACAAACAGCCCCTTGCGTTTCAATATCATATCCAGAATGGGACAAGCACAATCTTACAGTCCAGCCCAAACATGAGTTGCAAACAAGTGGACCCCACAACAATACATTGCCTCTTGGATAGGGAGCTACCCAGCCTGATGACATGCAAATAATAAGCAGGCAAGCGAGTGGGCACGGTACTCCCTCAGTGATGGCATTCCTTCATTTATTTTTTTACATGTCATTGTATATGGCCCATAGTCCTTGGGCAGGAGGCTAGCCAGCAGGCTCCTCCAAGAGCACATGGCAGAGGCCATTAATGAGGTTGTTCAGGTGAGAACAATAGCTACCTGCTCCCTTTCTCATGTGAACACTTTATTTTCTGAGAAAATACAGCGTTTACATTGGAAGCTAGGAACCCCTCCAGTGGCAGTAACATCACGTCTTCATGCTTGGGTGAAGACCTAAAACGTGCTATCAGCAGACAGGAGGCAATGTGAACGCGCCTCCTTTCTCCAGTAGTAACCCGGAGCCTGTCGCCAATTAGAGCCCAGTGTGGTTGATAACATCTCTTGCACACAGCGTGGGCTTGGGCTGACAGGCTGAAGGCAGGAGACTGAGCAGGAGGATCTACTACCTTCAAGTTAACTACAGTAAGTTAAACGTATCTTAAAAATTGATTGTGTGAAATGGAGAGAGAATGTGTGTTTTTTCTCGCTTTCTCCCCCCCTCCTAGGAGGGTTGCCACTGTCAGTTA